ACAAAAAATGTGAAGAAGGGCAGTCTCATTGCAGATAAGTATTGTGCCAATGCTAAATATGACAACGGGTTTGTGGAGTCAAAGTTGGATTCTATTTTGATGGTGCAGTTGAGAAAAGGTGGCTGCAAATCTTTATGTACATGATAGTAGTATTATTCTTACAGGAAGGTACAATAGAATGCAATCATCAAAACAAGCATTTGTTGAAGGTGTTCTTTATTACGTCCAATGCGCTGCTAAACTGCTTGTATGTTTTGAACCTCTATGGCTACCCAAAGAGTTAAACGGGACCATGTTTTTGTAATGTTTACTTAATCTTAGAATTTTTTTGTAAGGGATGTGATTCCCACATACCAAGGGGGAATTAGATTATTCTTTACATGCATTCGATAGAAGATGCAAAGTGAGGTTACACATGTTAGCGCAATGCATTGCAAACTATTAGTAAGTTATTGGATAGCCCTATCTCTTCGTGCACAATCACGTCTTGTACCACTGAAAAGGTAAACACTTTAAAATCCACAGGATGTATCACCAGGGAATCGTCTTGGCATTGTTTGTAGATAGGTTTGTTTGTAGAGCTTTTGGTTTTAACAGTTAAAGTATATGACCATGCAATGACTTGGGAGAAGTGGGCTTTACATTTGATTAGGTCTAGGCAATGTGAGTTAATGTATTTTTCAGCCTCACCACACTGGATTTAGGTCGCAAACACGATCCATAAGATTATGTAGTCATATTAACAGACGATAAGCGCCTCGAACCATGGAAACCGATTTTTAAAAATTAATTATTTGCTCCAGTCCCTTTCATTTGAGCTTTATCTTTAACTGCGTCATTAGCGAACGAAAGCTATTCGCATTGAATCTAGGATACTGACAGCAATTAAAGTATATACTAGTCTAGCAACAGCAAGAGCAAATGAATTTTAGTGCCAGAATATGAGCAGTGATTCCAAGAATCGCAAAAAGTATCAAACCCATGCAGAGAGCTTGGCAATATTTTAAAAAATTGCCTGCCATGCTTGCAACTTCTGCCTATCAGCATTTCGTGACCAGGGCGGACTTTGCAAAAGCTACGTCATTAGTATCTGCATCTACTCCCAGAAATCAAGCAGCTTTCCTGGCATTGAAGGCATGAAATGTAAAATAGGATTTTAACCGAGTTGGCAAAACTTTGGTGCTGATATGCCACGATCCTTGAACTGGTTTCTATGTTCAATATAAGTTGAGTTCCAATTCCTGAAATTGTGTACAGCAGGAACAAATGACCAAATTGTGGAGCAATGTTGAATTCAATCATATTTTCGTCTGTACCACCAGTTTGCTCTCGAGGTTGCATCCTTTTCTTAGCATGATGATTTAAGACAGAAGGGCTCTCTTTGGCGCAAGGTCCAAATATATGTACCTGCCTTCGGAGGATGAGGCTGAACAGTTGTAAGCTCACCGCATTGAATGGACACGAAGAATAACACAAGAAGCGGATGTATTCTAGGGTTAAGGAGGGGCCTCGAAGACAGCTCTAATTCTCTTGTTTTTAGTCCATCTGATGTTGGGAGGCTCATTCAAGATCATGACTAAACGTGGGAGGAGAGCATGACAGAATTTGCAAGGACGATGTAGTGAAGTTACAACGAATTGTGCGTACTAGAAGAAACAACTCTCTTCTACGCCACCCCTATTGTTTGCATTTGTAAGAAGGGTAGCGTAAGTGGCAGTCCCCTATTTCTGAAGCATGGTACTCGACAAAAAGGACGTTACATTCCCACACGAACACTGCGGAGAAGCCTGCTAGCTCACTAGTCAGTGGGGGCACGGATGGCCCTACTGGAGCATTAAAATTTCGTCCGTGTAGGTTCATCGCTCGCTACAGAATCGCGTCGCCTGGACCCTTTTTTCGGCATCCAGATTTATTTGTCGCGTGGATCGTGCGGGTACCACTGTAAACCTCAACACCGACGGGGAAGTCAGTCTCTGCAGACCCTATGAAAAACATCTCAAACACCCCCTTCGTTGTATCTGCAAGTGTTGGTCCGAGATTCAAAATACACGCGCTTTGGCATGATCTCAGCTGCAGCAATCTTAGAACAGACAATCTCGAGTTTAAAAACAGAGTGGGAAATTAGAGTCCCTGTTTGTTAACAGCAAAGCTGCCATTATCTTCTTTGTCAATTATAGTATGAATTATTACGCCGTCGTCAGGGGAAAGTTGCACGGAATTTTCTCCATCCCCAAAACTGATTTGTCATGTTTTGGATTTGGTGGTTGTAGTGGTGTCCGCTCTCAACGTTTTTTTTTTTTTTTTTTTTTTTTTTTTTTCTCGTGCAAGATAATGTTCCAAGGTGGGCCATGTGATATTGTCGAGAGCTGGAAAGTCGATGGCGGCGAAGTGAAGGAAATAGAAGTACGGTTCCGTCATCTTGTACTGCGTGCCGTTCAAAATCCTCAAGCCTTCTGTACCCGCACGGCACGGCAAGCGTGAACACAAGGAAGTAAGGCCAGCCAGCAGGATTCTGCTACAGATCCTGATAGAGAATTTGATAGCACAATTCCTGAACTCTGTTGCTCAGGGATCTGCTCAGTTTGACACATCATCCTTGTCATTTCCATTCTGAATCCAAAGTTGGTAGACCCAACAATAGGAAGCATCAAAGTAGGAAGATATATGAGAGAAAATTGTTTGAAGAAAAAAAACATGGACCATTGAGGTTACAATGAATAAAGGTGGTGTTTACGCTCTGTAAAGAATGGAACTATAATCCACCAGTTAATTGGAGATGGTTCACTTTTTTGATTACATCTATTTATTTTGTTTGACTTGAGTTGTTTCTAACTAGAAATAAAGTTAAAACCAACTGTAGGAGGTCAGTTTTGATGGTGCTAATGACTTTTGGGCTGATTGCTAATGCTTTCTGTTCAAATTCTCCAAAAAAATTAGTGATTTTTTTCTTCCCTCACTAAGTTGTATGCTCTGGTGAATCAATGTTTTCTTTCATTGGGTTTTTTTATTCAAGGCAGCAAATCTCCCGCCGTATAGGCGGCGAAGTGGCGTGAAACGGGATATGCAAAGAAAGATGCGAGAACGGGAGCTTGCAGAAACGAAGATGACCAGGCAGGCAGGGATGGCTGGAATCGAATCATCAACATCAACATCATCTTCATCGCACAATTGCATCCGCCAAGGTTTCCAGCTTTCCATATCCAACACTCTGGGCACCGCGCATCTCCGTCTCCAATTTCACTGCGCGGAGAATTTTTTCTTTTCTCAGAGATTCAGTGTTCTCCCTTCTCGCTTTCTTCCTTTTCACGCTCCAAGGTGCGCTTGGCTTGTTTCACACCAAGTGCGGTTCTCAGATCTGCCCTCTTCCTGGAATGGAGCAGTGCAAGTGTCGATGGAAAATGGCAAGCGCAAACTCAGCTCGTTACCTCAAGAGCCACAGATCCAGATCATGTTTCATACCCGATGAATTTCGACCTAGAGGTCAGTGATAGGAATGGATGGAAGCACAAGTTTCTTTCGTGGAAGCTTTCCGAGTTTCTCAGCTTCAGATTCAACCTCCCAAGTTCAATCCACGTTGCACAGTTGCTTTGAGAGGAAGACGGATGGCTGTTTTTGCCGCCGCGTCGTGAGCATGAGGACCGTATCGTACTTTGAAAGCTCCTGCAAAGTTTCGAAGCAGAGGTCTTCGTTTGTGAAACCAGGAAGTTTCGGGATGAGGTTTGTGCTTGGTTTTCTTGAGTTGTCGCTATGTCGTGTAGAAAAGGATCTTAGCTGGGCTGGTCTCTTATAACTCTGAGTCTGAAGATGTGAACCACCGCGAGATCTTCCATGTGTGATGGTCTTAAGTCTAAGGACAGGGATCCAGCCATCTGCCAACCTGGGGAAAATGTCTTTCGTGAGCACGCAGGCGAGGAGAATGTAGCCTATTGAATGCAGAGGCTTATAAGAAGAAGAGAAATACGAGTCATTGTAATTGAAGGATATTTCAGGGAATGGGAACGACGGCGGCGACCAGGTCGCGCCTAGGAATAAACCGCCTAAAGCTCAATCGAGTATTGATGAGCAGTGGCTCTGGAGCACATGTTTTTTTGTGGTCGTAACGTGGCACATGTGATCGAAGACGATTAGCAGTAAAATGTGCTTCGAGTCATTCACATCGCCTTCTTCTGGTGTTAACAATTGTCTTTCGTTATGGATACTTTTTGGTCTTTTCGCATGATTCTCTCAGAGAATCCTGCAGTTTGTTGTCTATGGTTCTCGAAAACTCGTGTTCGATGGTCTTACGAACAGAACTGCATCTCAATGTGTAGCAATTGCTGATCAGCCCTTCATTGACGTTTACCATCGTGGCAGTGGTCACTGAGCTTCACGTTTTTGCTCGAGTGCAGGGGTATTCTACAACCTCCTCGGTTTCTTCAGTTGCAATGGAAAGCAGTGACGATGCGAGTTCGACAATAGACGCAACTCAACCTGCCCTCGTTTGTGGTCCTGTTTCCGATGAGACGGTCTACTATTTGCCACTTTCTCCACAACGTGGTTAATCTGTTCTTCGAAGATACCAGCATCCATCCGAACTAGATACTTTTTGAAAATGCAGCAAAATGTATCGTTTCAATAATCTTGCGTTTGAGATAGCATATATTAGAACGTCAAGTCATTTGTAAGTAAGTGCTGATTCAAATGGTTGGAACAGGTTATAACAGTGTTGGGTTTCAAACGAAAATTTTAGAGTCAGTTATATCTCAATTGCTAAATTAGGATACGTTTTCCACATTAAAATTTAAACAGATGTGACTAAGATAACTGTAATGTGTTCCATTTGATTTCGAGACTATAAAAACGTCCGCACTAGTAACATAATATTTTCAAGCAGAAAAGAAATCAATTGCCAAAAGAGGAAGAGTGAGGGTGGGGATTAGATACAAAGGAAGCAATTCCTTATTCTGCTTCGCATACATTACTGAGACACACAATGTATATAGCAGCAAATCTAATCGAAGTAAAAGCAAATTGTGGTTTTCACGAACTGGAAATCTCCATGGTTTAGGTGCAGATAAAATAATTCTAATCCATTATGGTTGAAATCAGCTGCTCAAAGTACGAATCAAACGCAAATGAGAAAAACTTAAATTTTACACTCTTGCAAATGCAACCTCTTGCATGTTTGACATACTCGCCGCATGCGTTATCAAAGTTAGATGAAGCCCGTCTTGTCTTGAAAACAAATCTTTACAGGGCCGTCTAGACACTCTCCTCGGACTGCGTGTAGTTGTCTGCGCAACCGCTGTTCCGATGTCAGGAACAGTGCACCTCCATGTACTGATAAGCTGCAACTTGATCCTAAATGATCAATAACCATGCGACAATCGATGACATTTGCAGAAGAACACAATTCCGATAGGTACTTAATACAAACTTCGTTAATTATCACCCGAGGGAATTTGTAAAGAAACGCGCGTTGTTGCCAAATGCCCCGTGTTTACGTGATACACTGAAGCAATGAGCCTCACAGCAGGCTATTTCAAATACTAGCCGACTTGAGTCACGTCATGCTCAGAATGGATCTGCGTAATCCATTGCAATTCAGATTTCAAATCCCGACAACGAAATTCGGATTCCCTGTGAGGCCTATCAGAAAAAAGCCACAGCATCGTATTTTCCCTGTGCAAAGTTGTTCAATCAGGTTTTCTTCACGATGTCTTCATAAAGATCATAATAAGACAGAGACTTCGTTGCTCGAAATGGCAGGTTCATTCCAGATCTTTTCCTCCCTAACCGAGCATCTTCTTCCGCATTGCGTTTCAACTCTCGGGCTCTTATCCGCTCAGCTTTCTCCATTTGATTAGTGAAAGCCTCAGTAAAGAAGGCGACCACCACATTCAGCGTAAATACAACAGCTATCGCCCAGAATGCCATGAAGAAAATCCGCGACCATCTACTATTCGTGGCAGCCGCATAGCCATCCATGATCACATACCATTTGTTGACAACACACAAATTAAATGAGGTAGCCATAGCTGATGCGTAGTCATTATAGTTGAATACTTCAAAACCTAGATCCAAATACTGAGTGCCTGTGAGAGCAGGATTGCCTTCATAAACGAGACCCCCAAAGAGATGCATCCCCAAAATAGAGAACGCGGAGCAGATAAGAAACTGGAGTGCCAAGATTGGAGCTGTAGCAGGAATCACAACTATCAATGTTTGAGCCATGAGACGCCAACGTGTGATCAAGGATAGAAGAGCAATCGTCCTAAATCCCCGCACAATGAGTAGATAAGAAACCCTGTTGAACATACGCAGGAAAAAAATCCCGGAATTAGAGTTACTCGATAGGGAATAGGGGAATAATATCTATGCTAAATCACAATTGCGTGATTCAACTGGTTACACGTTCTGTAAACCAAAACGATTGACACCGACTCTTATGAAACCTTTCTGGTGCACGTAAACAACAAGTATAAAAAAGCAGCACGACGAGGAGCCAGACGGTAAATCTAACTTACCAGGGGCGAGCACCGTCGTAGAAGAAAGAGCTAAAATGAAGTGCCACAACGAGAACCGTCAAGACGAAGTCAAACTTGTTCAATAAGCGGCCCCAATAAGACTTCCAACCTTGCAGACACAACTTCAGTAACGCATCCATAGCAAACACCCAACCTGGAAAATAACAACAGATACATCAATGCATTTCAGCTTAATCAGAAATCGATTCAAGGAATTAGCTTCCTGATCAAGATTCTTGGTGCTAAAGCGCAAAAAACATCTTAGGTTTGGTGATGCACATAGGGTTGTTAGCAATGAGTTCAGAAGTTCTCAATAACCGCAATATTCAGGAATAGGAGAGTTCCTTTCTTCGAACATGCAAAATTTATAACAGATCGTTTTAAAAGAGGTTCTTTTTCAAGAGGTTACAGTTCAGATAACTAATTAATGCCATGTCGGCTAGGAACATGATATGACTTTGAGCATTAACAATATTCTGACCACTACGCTGTGTTTGAGTATAGCTCGGAAATGCTATCGACACTTGGTCGAAATAATATCTATCAACCAAGAAGTCGCACCAGACGCTAATGTTAAATATTCTCATCACATTGGTACTTTGACAAACTAAGAACTTGTCATCCTAAACAGAAAAACAGTCAGGTCAGAAAAAGGGGACGTACCGAATAGAAACTCAATACTGAGGAGTAGAAGCTTTGCACTACCATTCACCTGCATCGAAAGCAGATTCAGTAAAAATAACAAGGACCAATCTTGTACCAGGGTAATAACGCCCCGTGGGAACCAAAGTTCGGGTTTGGAATACAGCACTTCATAATTAAAATCAATAGTGAGAAAAACGGATGATTTTCAAGGTCTAAACCAGATAAGGGGCAATACATTCAAAAACTTACATTAAGTTCTGTGATTGCCGCAGCCAAAGATCCAAGTGTGAATCCCCACACGACATAGGAATAGACTGGATGATTCACGAACTGCATCTCACTTTTGCTCATTCGTCGCCGTAACTCCGGTGGCCTTTCCACCTCTTTTGCAATAACATCACAGAGCTCCTCAAATTCATCCGACCATATCTTGAAATCTCCTCGTTTGTTGAGAGCTAAAAATAGATGACTAGTCCGTGCTCGAACATCGGGTATATGCCTGATTTCACCCATAATTTACAGAGCAAGTTATATTTTCAGGACTCCATAGAACATAGTCGATAATCAAACTCTGCTCTGCACTCAACATATCCCTCTGACTACTTCGAAACTTCATAATTGTGACAAGTCGACTAAACAACACTTAAGAGGAAATGCACACCTGTATCGACCGATCGCAAGGAACAGAGCGATCATTGTGGCACCATCGATCCACTCCTGGTGACGAATATCCAGAAGACTGAACGCTGCCCTTAAATTGCCTTGCCTTGCAGTAATTCGCTTGGCTACTTCCACAGCCATCTACAGTACACAGCCGTTTCAAAATAGCAAATATCAAGTTAGCTTTTCCTTAAATGCATATCCATTCTCAATAACTAGCCCTCAATAACATTTCCACCATCACTACAGAGCATTCATAGGTTCCAGAAGAAAAGGCACAAAAACCACTTTCTGGAGTCCAGACATGCATCGAGGATCAAAGGAACCAGATTGAACAGCTCTAATTACTGCTAACAGAAAATCAAAATTCACCTCATTACATCCTTATAAATACATACTGTTCCCACAGAAAAATGCCCCGAATCAAAATGGCAGTACCTGAGTTTTATAATTGCTGTAAACCACAGAAAATGCCAGGTTCATCAAGAAGAAGAACCCCACAAGCAAATATGTAGAGAAGAAGAAAAAGGCAAATCGATTTGTTCGATATGCTGTTGCCCACACAGATGGATTGTTTGCAGTAGTCAAAAGCACAAAGAGATTCAAAAGGGACGTGCCATAGTCCTTGAATTCAATTGTGGACTCTGAGAAAAGGGTAGTTCCAAGCCATGCTGAGAGCATCACAAAGATTACAACCAAGACCTGTACACAAGATATTGACCAGACATAAATAGAGGCAGATAAATTAGACACAGTGCCAATTGCCAAGAAATTGTGACCTTGAGCATGTTAGAACTTGCAAATCAATACTCAAGGATTTGTTTGATGTAGTACAGTGACCATGACCACCCTCATTAGATGTACGAAAGTTTATGCATAAAGGGAATGGGTTTTACTTACCGTTATGTCCATAAACGTGTGCACAATGAGCAATGTCATACGAAAACAACCACGTATAGCCCTGTGTAAAGAACAAACCAAGGTCATGTAAGAGAAGTGCACCCAATGCTCAATTGATTGATGTTATCATTCAGAACTACATACCACTGAAAATGCGCCATATCACGAGATCAGGGTCATCAATTTCGCAATGCATCATAATACTAGGTACTCAGGAGGCCAATTAGGTGATAGCAGAAAGTAATTTTAAACGACTTCACCAATCAACTCAAATCAACGAAGGGTGCATAACATACCTGCTAAACACAATTGGGATAAGAATTCTCAAATACATAGATATCTTGGTGCCTTGGTCTCCCGCTATTCCTAAAGCCGAAGCAGAGATGGATATATACATCGCCACAAGCAAAACCACCTGCCTCACAAGTGCTCCAGATTAAAGGTGGCATTTTGGAGTAGTAACCCTTCATGGAGAAGGAGTACCATCTTCTGTTCTGCCCAAAAAGACATGTGATATAGTGGCATTTTTCATCATCAACAACTGCGTAATCGAAGACATCAGAGTTCTACACGCGACAGCACACAACAGGTATCTGCTCATGAAAATAGCATGATTGAGGCATAGCGTATGGAAAGAGTAGTCACCTTATATATAGATATTTGGTTCTGCCAAAAACTAGAACCTAAGAAATACCGTTGCAATGCAACAGACCACGCCAAAAGCAGAACGCAACATGTCTGCAGTCAAATTGACATTAACCTTAAAACCTTCTCCAAACTCACAAAATAGCACTCTGTCCTATAACATGTAATGCAACCTGATATTAGGACCTCAGCAAAACCGCGATTTCAGATGACAAGATATACGTCGTTGCGTACAAAGCATCCCAAAGCTTTCTATCAGACTTCTCTCAGTGGTGATCGCAGAAGCTTTTCACATTGTGTTTAATCAATCACAGAAGAGAGGACCAGTTGGAGCATCGTACCTCAATCGCAAGAGATATGTAAGGGTGAATGTAAGGTAGTCCGCTCAGAGGATACTTTTTGGGGTCACCGCAGGGGTGTGGTAGCTTTTCATTACACCAAGCAGGTACCTAGGAAGACGAAAAAAGTCGAATGATTGAGTGAGGTTTCTATGTATTGAGCTCATTATTAGATGGAACCACACCATAACCTCACAATGCCTTAAACAAATTGCATTCATTTTATTGTTTTGCGGGAAAACAAATTGAATTCCTAAACGTACCTCAAAGAAAGGTAGCAACATGAGAATTACGTACACCAGTGCCCTTGCAATGTAAAGCTGGTGATATAGAATGAAGGCACGCTTTGCAGTGTCATAGTCTTTATGATAAACCACAGGAAGCGGCAGATACCTCCCCTGCATTGCCTGCAATTTTACAGGACACTCTTTCAAGACAGAAACACATTACAACACTATCAAGTTGTAGGATGAGACCGAAGATTTACCCAAGCATTTTAGAATACATAATTGAGCCCAGTTAAGCAATCTAAGCAACCGTAGGCGGGTGAGTTACCTGGTCAACCAAAGCCGCTGCCATTTCGACATTTGAATGCAGCTGATGACCAGGAGGGTCCAGTCCTGCTTCCAAATCACGTGCTCTCTTTGCATCTGGAGGAAGCAAATTATATACCGAATACGATGATGGGCGGCGTAGAGGGGTATACAAACCTTCCTCTTGGATATCGGGCAGTGTGTTCCTCCTGAGCAATTTCTTCCTCATCACGTCTCGACTTAAAGATCTCTTGGTTGATCGATTTTCTCCGTCTACTGGCACTGAGGACGCCCTGTAAAGCGGTCTGAAAGAAGGCATGATTATAAATAATCAACACTTGAGGTACACCTATAGGTTCAGTAGGTTGTCACTGCTGACGATTCGAACAATTTCTATTTGCCTACGATGAGCCTGAGTCAAGATGTGAGGATGGATCTAGATGGAGTGCCACGACGGAGATAAGCGTGAAGAGCTAGCTTTTTATGGCATAGTTATTTTAATGTGCAGTCTAGTTCGAAGAAATGGTGTACAACCCCAACAGCAAGCACTTCATGCTCCATTCTGAAGCGCTTCTTTTCAATTCACAAATGAATCTTCGATGTGGGCGGTCTAAGTCGATTAACACTGCTGGTCACATGTGAAAGAAAACTTTACAAGTCGCTTTTGTTTCAAAGTGTTAATGAATTCCAACACAACACCCTCCATAACGTCAGAGATCGCTCGGTCGTCGTAACGTACACCAATACTCCATCTCATCTCTCCTCTCTCATTCCTTCCCTACAACGCACTCCCGCATCATCTCACAGATAATACAGTTCTACTGCCGCGACGACGCTTTTTCCAGTCACGCACGATCTCACATACCAACTCCTTCCAGCACCAGGCAATCACCTTACAAACTCCACTCCACGACTAAATATACAACCGGAGAAAACAGCAAGAAAGGTCTCCCATCCTAATCAACATCGCACCAACACAATCCCACAGACGAATTCGGGCTTCTAAGAGAGGAGACGTCAATTCAGCTCGTGAGTTCAAACACTCAGCATACGTCCCGCGAGGCTCGCTGTAAGACTATATTCAGACAACCCGTGCGCCTTGTACCTTCAGCGCCCCGCTACCTCACACACGTACGCAGGCTGTTGCATCCCAACCTTCTTCCAAGATCCTGTCCACCAAAACGTTTCCCTTTCTCCCTCTCCCTCTCACTCGCTCTTCCGCGTCTCTCCCCCACTCACTCGTACAACCAACGCACACTTCTACTACCAAATCCGTCAATGCGTTTCTCAGATTCCAACGCACGGTACGTGCTGCTACTGTTGCCCGTGGGAAGCACCTTCCCGATTCTAGACGCGACGTCCTCCCGGCCCTGCGACACCGGGGCCTGGCAGCAGTAGGGCGTGTTCTGGATGGTGAGAGTGGGATGCCACGATTCCGAGATTTCGACATGAAAGTGACCTTGGACTTTTCCAGCAGCGTGTTATCTCCACGCACGAAGGAAGCCAGCCAACCAGCCAGGAACGCAACGCAAAGCAAAACAGGACAACGCAACACAACGCAAATCGAGAATAAGAAAATGAGTGAAAGAAAGCAAAAAAAGAAATCGAAAAAGAGAGAGCGAGGGGGGGGGGGAGAGCGCGCGGGTGCGGGCGGGCATTGAAAGTGACGTGGATGGCGACGGCTGGAGGAGATGGCGGGGTCCTGTCGCTGTCTGGGTGCTGAGCTGGCACCAGATATCGTGGGGGTTGCTGCCCCTCCGCCGTGGCTCTCGATTAGGGCTTCGTCACATGTCGGAAAAGAGCTTCGCTTTAATTTTTTTGGTTTCAGAACAGAGCATCACGGGTATGGGATCCCCTTCGGTCATGGGTCGGTTGCGTGGATACCGCTCCTTGGCTCTTTGAGGCCTTGGCTCTGCAACCAAGCAAACGTGCTCTTCGTTTTGGATAAAAGTAGGATCACATGCGGGCATTGCTCTCGTCGCATGTTTCTATTTTTAGTCCCGGTTTTTAATGACACCAAATTATTTATTTATTTAATTGTTTTTGTAAAAGATCTTGTGGGAAAATTTTCATGTAAGTTACTTCTCGTGTCGTCGTGTCCAGGGAGATTCCAAAATAGTCAAGCCACGCAAGTTTTTTATATTAGATTTTTTGGGTTTTTATAGGTGCACGTAATTTGTCAGCTTGCAACGAACCACATTCTTGCAATTTTTTGTTTTTGGGTTTTATTCTGTGGTTGTAATTTTTTTGGAAAATGTGTACAGACCAAGCTGTTGGAAAGCTTTTCGTTCTCGATGGTTTTCATATAATAAATTCTTGTAATTTTTGATGACGTCTATAGACCCTTTTTTTTTCTTTTTTCTTTTTTTGTTCCAAAGTTGTGTTTGAAAATACCACTGAGAAAATATTTTAGTGCAAAAAGAATTGTACTTAACAGTGCATGACAATCACTTTTTTTACATTATGTGATGTTTCGATCTTAAAGTATTTTTAAAATGTTTGACTTTTACCAAGTGATTGTACCTTGGAGTAACCGAAATGAAATCTCCTGTGCAGTAAATCCTTCATGCCGTGCTTGTAATGCTGAATATTGTTTTGATGTATTGAATTATTTAATATAAGAATGTTATTGATATTTTGTTATCTTGATATGGTTGAAGATGCTTCAACAGAAATTTCAATCTATAATTTTTAAAAAATAAAGTAAAGTAAATAGTTAAAAAGAGTTAAAAATAAAAGAAGAAAACAAATAATTCAGCTTTACACGTTTTAAAGATCAAATATTTTTTAAAAACTTTTTTTGGCATGTGCAATTGTCTGTAGACGTTGGTTGATAATTTTAACAGCTATTTGACATCAAATTGAACACTTATGGTGGTTTCGAAATTGTTGTTCATCAACCAATACTTGCAAAAGTTTGTAAAATTCGAGTAACGATGCATAAATCAAATTCACATGACCACATAGATTGGTATTGTATGTGAATTGAATGTTTTACCATAAATAAAAAAATAAAAAATAAAATAAAATAAAAAATTCTGTACAATCATAAAATTAAATATTTTGGTAGGAGTTACTCCTCTTAAAGATTGTAATAATGAAGTGGTCATAATGTGTGTCATTTATAGTACAAGGCTTTTACTCTGCAACAATGCACTCTTAAATACTTAAATTTCCATATATTTTTACCATAGAGGAAGTCAAATTTTCGATGTAAATTGTTTTTTAGTAACAATTTACCAATAACAAAAAGCCTATGTGATAGTAATACCTTTCAATCACAGAAGATTTCATACAAAATATTTATAAACTCATGTTGCAATCAGATCATTCATTTATAAAAAATAATTCAGATTGTCTTAAATTATATACTGTAAATGTACATGGCCTTATCTTATTCACATTGTGCTTTTACTGTTGATCCATACATATAAACATTCTAACTACATGTGATCACTTTCCACTTAACAATTAATAAAAATTCTAACTACATGTGATCACTTTCCACTTAACAATTTGTATTTCATATTATACCGTCAATAATAATCACAACCAATGCAAATTTGTTGTTTATTAAAAACACAAACCCTGTGTTGAATATCCAACCATGTTATTTTGTGTGCACTATCTCAATTATCACCTACCAAATACATCCATTAAAAACAAAATAAACATTCATTTTGTTATATTAAACTTTTGAGCTAAGCCAAAGTCCTGTTTCTCCAATCCCATGTTTTTTTGAATGAAACATCGAAGGAAATCACAATAAAATAACAAAACCAGAAGAAATAAAACGGGTTAGCAAAAAAATAAACAAACATAAATGAAGTGTTTGAGTAATATTCACCAAACCCTTTTGAAAGGACTACATCATTATTTAAACCCAACAATCTCAGTTAACCATTAATAGTCAATTAATTAATTAATTAATTAATTAAAAGCTAAATTAAAATCTCCGCCTTGCAGACGGATTTAGGGTCAACGGAGACTTGACAACCACTCCAAAACAGGAAAGGCGGGGAAAATTCAACGAAGCAGAATACACGTGGACACGCCCCTCGACTCGTCTAGATTCTGACCGAGTTCCCACGGGTGCCCCTGGATAGATTCTGGTCCTGTTCCCACGGGGACTCCAGGGATTGTGGACATTTTCAGGATTTGAGGGGCTCGGGACGCGTTCCCAATGGCAGTCGCCCTTCAGGGGGGTTCGTCCAAGGGAAGCAATGCTGCAGCCTGCCATTCATTTACCTATTCATCCAAAACTACATTCATCCATTCGGTGCGGATGTGAAAGAAAGGGGGAGTGTGAAACATGTGGGATATATGAGCATGGCTGGGAATTAAAGGACTCTTTTATTAACCCACAAGGAACTTGACAGCCTCGGGACCCATCACAGTTGGATGGATGGCTTGCCCTTCTCCCCCCCAACTTTCTACTTTTTTATTACTTTTAATAACCTCACTAAAACATGGCGAGGACCGTTTTGTCCCTCGCTTTATATTTTTTCATCTACTTGGAAACATGTGTGTGGGCTCATCTTGTGAGCCACATAAAACCAATTTGCAGTTTTTGTATATATATATATATATATATATAATTTTCTCCTTCTCTTTATTTTAAGATCTAACGCAACCAATTGCACCGCCACACTCATGGTTCGGGGCCAAAGGTTGTGCCTTTATCCATCTGCGCTGATTCATCCTTGTTTATTCTATTGAAGGCTTAGGGAAAAAGTGATAACATTGTCGAATAATTGACTCGCATTGCAAGGTATGTATTTTTATTTATTTATCTTTAGTATTTGTTGTATGCAGTTCAGTCGGAGGTTGAATCACAACTCCAATATTTTTGTGGGTGAATTTTTGACAGATTGCTTTTGATTAGACGCTTTTTTCTATTCCAATTACAGAGAAATAAAAATTGCTTTGAAAAGTTTTGAGGGGTATGTGTGTGTGTTGGTCTAAACTCATACTTTCACGCAAACTGAGTTTCTCATATTGTGCAACCTTGGACATTGGTGTGTACATAGAGATACTTAACCCTATAATTAGATTTTGACGTGGTAGTCCAATTAAAAAGCATCTAATCTATCCATACAAACCTAGCACATGACTAGGTGCAGATTCATAATTACGAATATTACATGAAATGATGCACAAATGCTCTCTAGAAACTATTACTTACTCAACACACAAGTATTAGCTTGATACACTGGGATAACCCAGAACTGTGACTTTATTATAATTGGATCAACATAGTTCAAGTAGTGGAGTATTGTTCTCATTATCATGTACGTATGTACGTATTTTAAATAATTAAAATGGTATGGAGGGGTGGGGGGGGGGAGGAGAAGGGGGGCCACATGTGTTCCATGGGAGATCCTAAGTAATTATTTGCCCTTCCAAAGGTGGGCTCTTTTCCAAGCGGCTAGGTTTTTTATATTTACACTTTTGTGGGTGAAATAATGTTTTCATTTTTTTTTGTCTTTTACCATCAGAAAGTAAAAAAGTATAAAATGTTCAAAGGTGGGGAAGAGGGATGAAAGTATATTCATATTTCTTTGTTTTATATTTATTTTTTGGTGAAAAAGTGACGTGGTTGTGCAGTGTCATGCAAGTGGCCCCACTGAGAGTTCCCTCCCTTTGGGAAAGAGAAGTTTGTACAGATCCTATGTGGTTAAGTGATGAACTCTTTATGAATGTTTCAGATATTAACATTTAGTGGCAAATCATCAATCCGATTAAACAACTCGTCATTGCATAATCAACATCACCGTGCCAAACGTACTGTAAATTTACTTGATACAACAAGGCATGCACATCGGGTTTTCCTCAAACATAAAAAACCCTGTTGGGTCTTAACTATTGACTCAATTATATATATATATATAGAGAGAGAGAGAGATCAAATAGCATGCAAACGATGGCAGACAGTAGAGTTTTTCCAAGCGCAATCATGCCGACGTGCGGATTGAATTGAATTCATCAAATTCAAAGAGACTCACATCTACTATGGGGGCTGTTCTTACTCTTTGTCAGTTTCCTTGAAATGAAATCATGTCTTATTTGAAATGTTTGGTTTCCAACTTTTGAATTCTGGATCTTCACGCTCAAGATGATTGAAGGGCTAATGAGCGGTTCTTCTGCTCGGCTCTACTCAGAGGAAGGAGCTAATCAAAAGCATCCTGCAATATGTATGACATTTCTTGATAACTGGAGAGATTGAAGCATACCACCTCCAAAACTCGTGTCACTCTCCCACTGGGAGCCCGAGAAAGGGCGAGTGCAAGGATGAAATTCCCTTTAAATGCCTTCAAATTGCGCATTTTGATTGATCATACAAATTGCAAATTGATAAGCAGCAGCCCCAAATACAGGGTAGATGATGATATGAATTGCCTCCACGAGGCCTCAATGCAATGACATAAAAAATGTGCTTCCGAATGCTACATGAAATTTAATGGGTTCCGAAGCTCCAGTTTGCGGTAAAATCCACGAAAGGCCATTCGCAAATACATTTGCGGAGGTCCAGCACCAACGTAAACCAGGTCTGCTTGAAACGTCCAAGTTCGATATTTCCTTCAATTGGTTTAAACCTCTAACTGGAAACATCAGAAAGATTTCAGCATACTCATATGATAACATCCCTGACACGATTCATGCAGTACATTCCACTGAAAAAAGAGTACACTCAGCAAGGAACTTGGGGTATAGTACTCTGCTTGCACTCAAATTAGAATGCGGAGGAGACCAAGTCCAACAGCCGTAACAGAAACAATAGTACCTGCATGCAGCAAATTCAAGTTAGTGAACGCGAATAGCACTTCAAGTCTGAAGCCCTCAAACATAAAATCGGAAGGACTTAGCTCTGAACAAAGAGACGCTGAATAGAGAACAAAGTAATCATCATAAACAAGAAAGCAGTATGAGAAAAATGTCGTACCAATGCAATACTTAATGACGTCGTACTTGGCTGCTTCAAGTTGTGTTTTCAATGTATGTATTTCCTGTTCATCAAATTTGCATGTGGCACAAAGGTGAGAAAGACGCGTCATTCAATTCCTTAAAACACATTCGCAGCCAACAAATTTCAGAACTTAAACATGACAAGGAATAGCAACTAATCAAAAGGTCGAAAGGATCGGAATAAGAAATTCCTTTCTAACTTACTCTGTCTAACTTGTTAGTAAGGTTGGAAGTCTCGCTGCTCTGCGTGGCTAACTCCTCACGTATGCGTCTGAAGAGACACAGAATTTAATAAAAGCAACATTTGTCCTAAGACTAACAAAAAGCTCTCCGTACAAACCTACTGGTTAGTGAATGAAATCCACTTGCATTTGCTAACTAAAAACTGAAATTGAAGATTGATACTTTAGATTACAAATGAACAAATTGACATCAAACAAAAAATAAAAAACAAATGGGCAAATTCTACGACCTGAGCAAAAGCTTACCCTCTTTCTAGGTTCAAATCAAGGCGTTGTCCGGCTGTTACTTTGTCAATTTCATACCTGTAACGATGAGCATATGGACACAAATACAGCATTAGGTACGAAAAGTATCACAATTTAAGGGGAACTTTCACCAGATGCTTCCAATATGATTGTGCAGAAAATACTGACAAACAGAGCGCAAAGTTCACCTAAGTTCGCTTCGCATTTTGTCAATATCAGTTCGAAGCCTTTCTGTTTCTCGCTGCAATGTTGCAAAGTGATGCTCCTATAAACAAGAAAAAGAATGTTGGTGCCCATTTCGCACTTATAAAATCAATCGAACTCATAAGTTCTCCAGGAATAGATCACAAGGGCCTCATGCCGATAAATTGGTCAAGTTGAAAGAGTGATACCTGTGAACTTTGTACTTCACCCTTAAACTTCGACAAAGCTGCTTCGGCCATCATCTCACTCTGCAGCAAGGCAGAAAAATGAGACTAGGTAAAGAGCAAACTGATCGAATCTGGATAGGGTAAAAGAAAAGAACTACTAGGAAGCAACATTGAGAAAGTAATCCTACAAATCGGTGATGCTCAAACCCTATACATCCCTCGACCTAGAATATTAGCATTCTCTCTGGTCCTCATTACAGGCATGTACAGTAAGGTGAAGCACATGACCTCAAAAACGTAAATCAAGCCTTGCATACATTTCGCACTACGGACCTAAAACACAAAATCTTCGGTCATAACCTCCAACTCTAATGTCACTACAATAAATTTATTCAAGGTTCTGTTACAAGGGAAAACTTGCAGACATACTCTTGTCATCTCTGTTTTAGAGGTGAACGATTGAGCCACGTTCTCCAAGCTATCATTGAGCACCTCCGTAATGACTGCTGTGATTGCCTCAGCTTGCTTGGGAGTCAATCCTTGAGCTTCCAATCTTCGAACCTGAAAAGACATCACACAACCTTACGTTGAGCACGTAACGTTTTCCGGGCACCTCCACATCCTAAAGAAAGTGGACATTAAAGTCTGCAGATCATACACATATAAAAAACCCAGGAGCAAGTTTCCCGAGCAAAACCAAAACTAGTTTCTCTCCAACCTTAAGCATCCACACAGCTTCTACTAAAGTTGACTGTTCCAAGTGGTGCAAGTATTAATATTCACACTAATTTTGTAACACGGATGTCACCAATTAGGTCAACGAAGTAAAGAGCAATTCCATCCTTCGTGTCACAAATATTTTTTATTACGGTAAATACTATTCCAAATTCTATAAAATCATCTTCCTAACCTGCTCTAGATCAACTAAATTCATAATGGTGGAGACTCCTCTTCCATTCCCAAATAGCTGCGCAGATAATAGAAAAGGAGAAATCTGAACAATTACCAGCGCCAGAGTATCAACAAGAAAGGCTCTCTTGTTATTCGCTGGCGCGACAAGCTGGGATATGTTCCGCATATGATATCCCCGAACTGCCTTATAATCCCACGCCCTCCAAAGGGTCAATTCATGCGGATACAACAGCCAAGGTGTATGATCTTGGAAGGCTTGCCGACCGTGAGACGCAAATGGTGCAGATACTGGCATCTTCAATCTCGCATCAGGAATGTTAAGCTCCACAAAAATGTCTCTCAAGTGAGAATCAGCAGCTAATTGCATTGCCTGCAGCGGGCCCCTCTGATGCTGCACGGCCCTCCGTGCGGCAGCAGCTGCCATCCCTCCACCCTACGTCCCACTTCTCCCTCGAAACGGAATCCACCCCTCCAAACACGAACTAACGCAGCCCTTGCATCAAAATCTTATTAAATCGCATCAAGCACAAACAAGGAGACGCCTGTCGTCGTCAGCCCGCAACAGCCAACACGATGCACACATACACACTTCGAGTAATTCAATGTAACGACCAACGGTCCCAATTCCGTCCGATCGTCTCCCTGGCTCTCGCTTACTCGATTACTACACACTGCACAGATCCGGAACCATTTCCTACACGCTGCGGGCCACAACCGATCACCCACCGCTGAACGAATCCTGGTGCATTATTCAGTCACTGACTGCGTCCGTCGTGATCCACGGCATGGGGGGTTGCGGAAAGCTCTTGTTAGTTGAATTAAAAATCGGGGGAAGCGTCGAAAATGAAGTGCGGAACACGACAAGACAAAGGGAGCGAGGGAGAAACCCTAAATTCACTTCACTCTCCCTCCCTGCCCGTGTACCGGATGATGACCCCCCGTTGACCGGCCCACCCGGTCACAGACTGCTGGCCCTCCCCTCCCCCCAACCCGCTCAGTGAACTTCGGATCCGTTCTTGCCTTGTGGGGGACCGGAATCGGTTTGGGGTTCTTCGGCGTCAAGTATAATACTGTAGAAGACTAGAGTTCTTCACGTTAGAGTAGTAAGCGAATGGTGAATTGAGCCGCTTCTTTACAGTAATTATGAAATGCTTCACAACAGCATTGCTGTTACCCTCTCTACTGATTTGTGATAAGATGTTTGATGGTTTGATTGCTTAAGTCTTCAGGGACGTGTGAGATTGCGTACTTTGGATGCACGGAGTAGAGAATAGGATTCCGAACACGATTCACATTCGTTTTTATGTGTCAAGGACGTTGTAACACCAAAATTTGAGCATTTTAATTTGAATTTCATGACTGGACGTTGTAGCGTGGGTTCTTCACCATCAGTGACTCACTCCAGGGTTTCCATTCCTTGTGAGATAAGAAGTTACAGACGTGAGCCAATTGATGAAAGTTTAACTTTCAAAGATTCAGGAAACAATCTCCAGGGTTGAGACGACGGAATGATATGCAGTTTGAATAGGCTAAGCAGGGGGCTCCTCTAGAACCCAACAGCTAATGCAAGCCTACCATGTGGTTTTGGCAAGGTGAATACGGTTCCATACCAACTACGAGATAGTTTACAGTGAGGATGCACTCGCTAACAGTGCAATGATCAGTTGAAGTCCGTGTGTTCGTCCGTCCTCTGTCGGAATTCAAAGTCTGGGATTCATAAGTGGCCTTCAAAAGATGACGACGACGACGACGACCTAGATGACGGCGAGTGATGTTGATTTCCCTCATCCAAGTCATACAGGAGCTGCAGACATAAAAGCACACTGCCAAACCCACAGAGGCTCTGATGTGTATCTCCGCTCTACGAGGAAGGAAGGTATGATGTCTTCGAAAGGACGCAAACAAATCCCAAAAACTGTAGGCTCAGTTATGCCGTGGAGTGGCAATTGCCAATGCCCGCTACGAAGGGTTCCAAGGAATTAAACGTCCGCATGAATCCACTTTCATGGAGCAAACTTGGTGTGTTGCAGAATCTTCAACTCGCGGTTTGTGCTCTAATGCTGTTCTTCAAACGCACAATTGTCTCCGAAAGATCCTTCACTTGAGTTTGTAGATGCTTTACGTACTCAACCGCTTCGTCAAGCATATCTGCTGTGTTTGTTTGCTTGTCCATGTTAGGCACTAGGTCTTGTAATTTTTTCATGCGTTCGCTAATTCGACTTCGGCGGTTTCTTTCGGCTATGCTGCGGGGATGAGTAGCATATCCCCGGCGAGCTCGGGTTTTGCAAGGCGAGTACAAGTCGAGGAGGTCGTCGTAGCCCATGCCCATTGCTGCTGCAGGGTCTCCTGGGTTGATGTTCGTCGGCAGACTTTGGTGTCTAGTCAATGAGTTTATCCTTCCACCTGTAGGATTCTGAGAGTTGTCTCGAAGCAAATCGGAGTCATCCATCATCTCCTCGGGGAAGCGCACCCTTTTCCCTCCTAAATTTGCTGCAAGTTACAATAATCTAAGCCTTGTTAGAGAGAGTTGCACACCGAAACCCCTACATCGAACTTGACGCAAACACGCCCACCGATTGATGGCAACTAGCGGTATTTAACAGGAGTTAGTATGAAGTACCTTTAAGGTTTGTGGGCATCCCCCATACACCACCACCACCCATCATGGCGTCGTTGAATACATACATAGGGTTCGAATACATGTTATCTATGGATTTTTTATTTGAACGATCCTCACCAAATGAGCCTACGGACAAGCTATCGTCCTGAGAGCGTAGTGGTTGCATCTTTGGATTCATCTCGTCCTCTCTCTCGTTGATAGCGGCCAGCAAATCAGCGGGTGAGCTGCTCTGACGAAGCAAGTTGTTGTTTAGTGAGCGATTACGGAAAAGAGAGACATCCACTGGTCCGCCACCACGAAGTTCAGCTGCCCCCCGAGCAATGTTCTGCATTCGAGACAACGAATTCTCCATGTTTTCCTTCGCCATCGCCGAGTCCTGCAGAGCGTTCAGTCTCGCTTTATCTGCTTGAATAGCAAAATACTGTTCTGCGCTGCTCATCGCATTGGAGCGCAGAGCTACCTTCTCTGGTTCTGACTGCTGAGTCCACCTCGAAGGAGCCGATTCCATGATGGGAACCAAATTCTCATTAAAGAACATCGGATGGTCATCCCTGTTGCTATCAGCGCTGTTTCCCAATGGACTCGAAATGTGGGGAAAAGATTCCTCGTTGAACTCAGCCAAGGACTGCAAAATCGAGCTCGGAGCAGAATGGTAACGTTGCAGGTTCGACGTGCGGGCAAGAGAAGAATTTAGCGGTTGCAGAGGAGCATCCATGCGTGCACCGAACCCGCCGGCATTCAATCGGATTGATGAATCGAGCACCTCGTTCTTGCAATCCATCTCCCACTTCTCATCACTTGCAAATGGCCACTGCGTGGACTGCGACATGCTTGACTGTGATCCTCCAGAACCGAGGGAGGACATGCTAGGCCTCTCCAAACTCCCACTTTGCATGTTCATATTCATATTCATAGAAGGAGTTAGCTGCCCCTGACCACCAATTGATTGCTGCCTTTGAATAGGAGAATACGGTAATGGTCCCGAAAACAAGTCCCGTCCTGTGGAATTGGGATCCACGGAGTTGGAAGACAGCATGTTGGTCAACGATATGTGGCCCTGACTCGGGTGATTCGTTTGCAGCATCCCGCTCAGATCCGTCTCAGTCAATGCAATGTCTTCACAAGCCAATACACCGAGTAAGACACAGCCTTTCTTTTGCAAGTGCGTGTTCAAAAAAATTAAATTAAATAGAAGAAGAAGAAGAAGTAGAAGAAGTAGAAACAAACTATGGTCCTATGTTTAGAGATACATTTATTCAGGTAACTGCAAGACAGTTTCTGGCGTAAATAGAAAAGTAGGTATCAGAACTTATATTTACCAGATCCCATGTTAGAACCTTGCAATGTGAGAGGTCCCTGGGTTGGCAGGGTAAACACGAAGACAAACTTGCAAATTATTTGGACACGGCTGACGTCCACTTCGTCATTTCCAAGGTTTGAAGGACACACTCCGCTTCTGCGCCACTATCGTCTCCAATCTCTGGACGGCGAGTCCAACTGAACGAGAATATCCGAGCCGTTTTGGTCACCTGAAGGATGATTCGGATGATACTTAGCTACCATAAAAACAGAATACAGACTAGCCTGTGCCAAAAATTCTCATGAAAGATGAGAAGGTCTGCTGTAGAGGAGATGAGAGAACCTCGATAGTTTAGCATCAAGATCCCCAGTTTTCAACAGACCCTTGCAAATTCAATAAAATGCTTTGCGACAGAGTGAATATACAAAGTGAAAAGAAAGGCATGAAGCTTGAACAAAGTTCAAACGACTTGCAGCACAACCAGTGTCTGCCATAACCTTCCGCTGCTGCCACTCAAGCTTGCACAGTAAATATCAGAAGCACCCAGCCCCTCTCAAACCGCGCGCGGGCAAGAACGATTCAGAGGCTTGAAAACTAAGATCTAGTGAAGCCCCCACCGCCGTAGCGAAACGTTGCACACTGTACAGTGAGCAGAGTCGGGAGGTGGAGGTGTGGATAAGCACTCCGTTTCTGCTTTACATTGCACGGAACTATCAAGTGAAACACCACATCCGGTGTTTCAGCGGGCAAGTCGTGACACTAATCATTGAAGCATTCAGGTTGATCGTGACCTGCTGAAAACTATAGAGGCCGGCGTCCAACAGTTCTCGGCGAGACCAAATGTGTTTAAATAAAGACTACCGCCCGGCGTCCCTCCACCGTTTCCTAGACGAGAAGATCTAGAAAAATCTAGTGTGCGTCCTCCGCAAGAAGAAAGAGGAACGGCAGCCTCAAATGCAAGAGCTATCTAGGCGATGATCCGGAGTCTTCCGGGTGAAATGAGTGATTCGACAGGTACGGGACAGAGAAAAACAAACAAAAGCGCCAGTTGACGCACCTGATCACATAGTCATCACCACGCAGGCGCACCCCTCGATTTGCAAACCTAATACCAATTCATGGTCGATCTTCGGAAGAACTCTTGTGCTTGTCCGACTGAATCTTGGATACGCTTCACTAAAAAGTTTCTAAAAACTAGCTTCTGCGAGTGCTAAAATGGTTATTGTCGCGCCACTAGTAGCTAAATGCTGCCCCCAAATTCCACTCGGAGGAAAGAACCCCTGACAATCCTCCCACCCCGAACGGTTTCTGGACGAGGAGACTCAGCGCACATCAAAAACTCTGGCTGCGGCAAGTATATTCCCGAATCTACTGCCCAGACCCAAAAGGCAACACCCCCAAAACAAATTACAAACAGAAGCGCTCGATGACAGCGGCTAAGCCTCCTTTTTCACGAACTACACTCGTAAAACGCTCACAACCCCAGCTCCTTGATTTCGTGGAGGACCAGTAAATGATTCCTGCGGCTAAGAGCTATTGTACCTACACAAACCAAATCTAAGCCAAATAGAGCGCCTGCTAGAAGTACTAAGATAAGGGCATATGATATCTAGATGGATCTATGTAGATGCAAGGAAGCCCTACGATTCGCAAGACTTCGCACGCGAAGCTCGCAACAAGTCGACAACCTGGGTATGTGACCGACTGGCCTCCAATCTAGTCCTTCGCTAGATTGACTCTTGCAACCGCCGCTCCCCCCCCACTTCCGGAAAGTAGTGATCTGTGTGACCTGTATTCTGCAAAGATCGGAGGGCCAATCTGAACCTAGTATCCAGGCAGTCAATTCATTGACCCTCAAAAAAGTAAAGAGAGACCTTTACACGCCACAAAAAACGAAGCGAAGGAAAGCGTTGTCCCGAAGATTTAAAAATATTTTTTTCCTATCTTTTTCGTAGGGCTCAGAATAGTTCCATGATTGCCCTGTCACTGTGGTTTTACAAGTCTGAAACTTGCAGCATGAAACCAGATTTTGTCCACAATTGCACTTTCTTGATGCAGCCTCTAATTACAGGGAATTCTAAAAATCATATTCTTGTGAAATATGATCTGCTTGAAGTAAATGCTGAAAATGTTACCACACGGTGCCAACATAAAGACTCGGTAAACCTGTTCAGGTGAGGTGAAACTAGGGCCGATCAGTGCTGAAACTGAAGGGCCACCGACGCCTGCTTACTATCATTAGGCTCGGGATAAGAAAGAACGTATTTTTCTCACAAGAGTCCACTGACTGCAGGGAATCACGTCTTGCTCACATCGAGTTAAAATAGCTTTATGCTGCAGGCGCTGGCTGCTCATCAAGGCACGTCGGTAACTCGACGAGGACGAACTCGTTTTCTGAGTAGTGCATGAAATTGCAGGTATTCAGAGAGATTCGACGAGAACGGCTTACGGCAGAGCCAGCCATCCTCCTGCAATCCACTGACAAAAGCTTAATGAAGCCATGATTACGCAACTTGAACCTGAAGATCAGTTGGGTAACATTTTATTCCTTGGGGGCAGAGAAATCTGCCGCTTAAGGAAACACTCTCATCACTTTCTTTCCGATCGCGTTGCAGGTGGACCGTCTTTTCGCGGTGCCTCTCGTCCCCCCCCCCCTTCCGAATATTATTCACAACCAGTGGGCTATACTCAAGGACACATGCATATCGACAGGACAAAGTGGGAGTAACCATTGGTTGATTCTGATCGTGTATAGGTACGAATCGGCGTAGACCCTGCGTTGCGATTGATGGCAAAGGCTCCCAAGCACGTTTGCCGCAGCAGAATGCACTGCGGTTAAAAAATCGGATAGATAACGCCCGGATCCACGAAATTCCTGCAACAGGGAAGAAAAGCAGTATTTTGTTTTTTCCGCTAGCATCTTTCTAATTTTCCGTCTTTAACGCGTGATGCGGAATAAAGCAGCGATCAGCAATCTCGTTAGGATGCAGATGTGCCGGTTCCGGTAAGCACCCATAGTGAGTGACAGCGGATCCTGGGAAAGGAAGAGCAGGAACAAGAATAGGGATCGTACAACAAGTGCCGTGTGGCTAAAACGGAGAGTGAAACCCCATCTATCTATCTAAGTTATCCCAACAGCTCAATTCTTCAACGTAGCGAGCATGCAACCAAGCAAAGCGAAGCAACTCTGTGAGCAGCAGCAACGCCGTGTTACATCCGACCATGCTTCCCCTTCTTCGCCACTCCTACTGCCACTGCCAGAGTATCGCCTCCCCCCCACCCCCCGCTTTGGAACTAGCCTGGCAGGGTAGCATAGATGGATGAATTAATTCGTGGATGAAAATATGGATGTATTTTCGATGTGATTGTGGATGTATGTATAGGTGTATAGATGTATCGGTAGATGAACTTATGGGTGGATGAAGGGGGTTTGCAACAGCGCGGGCCGGGTCGGCCGGAAGGATTGGTTTCCCGTCCCGTCCCGTGATGGACTTGTTGGACTTGTGATTCTTCTCTAAAAGAAGAGGTTACAAGAACTACTTAAACTTTCAAGAGAGGGACTTTTTCATATAATGAGTTTTACAATGAGTTTGAACTCAATTTTCTTAGAAATTGATAAATTTTATAATTAATAGAGAATTTTCTTAGAAGTTAATAAATTGTATAATTAATAGAGAATTTTCTTAGAAGTTGATAAATTCTATAATTTATATTTATTTAAATAAATATAAATATATTTTTTGTATACATTCATATTAAAAATGTGATAACATCTATATATATATATATATATATATGTATGTGTGTGTATGTGTGTGTATGTATTTTTGAAACATTGAAAATTCCACTTTTATGTTGCATGTTCTCTCTATGTAGTTTTATGTGTTGAATTGCTGCATTTACATGTTCATTTAATAAAACATTGTTTATAATCTCTATTATTGAATGGGATACATTGATTGATGCACGAATCTATTTTGTGGCAGTGATGTTTTAGAGAAGACAATTGGAAACAATTTCAATAAACAATGAGAAATAAGATGAAATAATAATGATAATAATAACAATAATAGTAACATTAACAACAACAACAACAAATATATTATTTATCCAATAACTTAATGAAAAAAACCAAAAATATGGTGAATAAGTTGTATGCAAAAAATAAAAAATAAAAGATATAGCGTCTATTAAAATATATGGATCAAAAAGTCAATGAATTTGATGACTCTAATTAACAATAAGATTAATTCTACTAATATCAGCATATTAAATTTTTACTGTACTAAAAAGCTACAATAATTTGTCTGTGAATATTATAAACACACATACATACATGAGTTTTGTTAAACACGAAACCATGTTTTAATATTTTTTAAAATTGAAAGTATTAAATAATTTGTTAATATTATTTTAATGTTTAATAACTGGATGAATTAAAACTTGACTTGTATTAATGGATGTGGTAGATTTCAAATTTGAACTTCATTTTAACTTTTTTTTAATCTTATAGACTACATCATTATTGATTGTATTAATCAGGAGTGTAAAAGATAAAATTAGACAACATATCTTTTATCCTTGTAGATAAAGGCCAAAATAGCGCAAATCTATCAACTCTGCAATGCATAAAAAAGAAAAAGAAAAAGAATATTTTAACCTTGTTGAGAGTAAAACTTCATTATTGAAAGGATTTGCAAATTACTATTAAAACCCATGACTGCATTTTAGTTATAAATTATTTTTTATGCAAACTAAACTAATACCAAGTGATCATTGTTGGAAAATTAATATCTTTAAATCTCATCCACGAAACTGCTCATGAAATTTCATAAAAAGTTCCAGTCAATAGAAAACTTGATATGTGGATCATATATATTTATATATAGTATTTTTCGTCTGCAGTGATTCAATTCATTCATCAGAGACGTTTCCACACAGTGTGATCGAGGCAAACATTACAAAAAAAACGAATCAACTTAAATTGCACTTTCCGTGCGCTTCTCAGGCAACTTCACATTGACATGTAGTTTTAGCAAAGTCAACACAGGGCTCTCATTTATTATAAGGAAAAGAGCCGGACTGCCAATCACTAACTCCCAATTCTGCTACTAAACCTGAAAAACATCCAAAGCATGAGGACCCAGTTTTCCTGCATTTGTAACAACAAAGAAAAGAAAGCGTCAGAGTGTGAGAAAATGTGGGTCCTGTTTGTGGGGGCAGGGAGTGTCAGATTCTGAGTGAAGCCCTGGATTTAGTGTAGCCCATGACTCAGTCATGAGCTTTGATCAGCTCAAGGCTAGATCCTCGTAATGGAGGTGATCCTGCTTGTTGCTGCAGTGAGACCCAGTGAGAGAGAGAGAGAGAGAGAGAGAGAACCCTAATTGTTGCGCTTTGTTACAGGGGTTCTTCTGCCAGGGTTAGCATCAATTTCTGGAAAGCTCTCCAGACTGTCGCCAAGGTTTTGCAGTCTTATTTGGTCTCCAGATCCTATTTCTAGCGAAACTGACTGAACAATACCAACACAGACTTGTCATGGAAGCATTTTCTCAAGGCTGGCGGGGCATCGAGATCCTTAGGGATGAACCCAACAGTATTGACGGGATCGTTGCGGCCACTGCAAGCAAGCAAGCATGCAAGCATCTCAGGGAGCATGGAGTTGAGAGTTGGGTCATCAGCGTTGGCTTTACAAGCCCGTTATCTCGATTATAGAAAGTTTCTCCGGGCTTTTATCTTGGCTGTATGCTGTTGGAAGTCCGTAAAATTGGTCATCTCGACCAGATGACAAGCCTGGATGTTGACAAGATAGCAAGTCTGCTGTTCTTAGCAGTTGAAGATGGGCACCGAGGAATCTGACCGGGAATTGAGTACCTAGTCGATGGTGATGCAAGGACGTTACTGCAACAACAGCCATCTAGCTCATATCAGGAACTAGCCGATGTTTAGAGTATCCAGCGCTGGTCGAGTAATATCGTGATGAAGAGTAAAATGTCCTTTGGAGGTAATCGTTGCAAATACGTAGATAAAGCTACTAGAACCAGAGCTCCACTGCAAGGATTGCCCTTGTGAGCAGCATCGTCAGAGCTTGTCAGGGATAGATTATGAGCGCATCTGGAACAGTTGGGAAAGGTCCTCAGGACTACCGAAAAGCCACTGGCAGCGTTGGTTTCGTGCTCCTGTAAAGCTTAATCGGTACGCCAGTTGATCCCAGGGAGAAGCTAGGACATGCTTATCCGAGTTATGCTCGCTGTTGTCAAACCTCGCGACCTTTGTGTGACATTCTTTGAAGGAAGCTTGAAGGAAGTTGGTCTGCGGCCACGTGGTTTGGTTCATCGATGCGTACGCAATTCTTCAAAAGTGATGATGCGCTACCTGACAAACTACCATGTTCTGTAGACCACCCACATCCATTACGTGAACATTCAGGAATCGCAGAGAATGTTCAACTTCACAAGCGTCCTTTTATCAAGCACGAGTTTCCTAGGAGACGTTGTTGGGGTTTCACAGACGCCCTCTCCCGCAAGCAATCCGATTATAGCAGCTTGTTATTCAGCTCACTCAATATCAATAACAGAATGCAGCTCTCCTGTTTTCAGAATTTCCATGCAGGAATTCTCAAACTCCAATCCGGTAATCAGTGGCAGATCCGATTCCTATGAAAACTTAGCCCTAGATCAGAAACATTTCCACTGTGCCCCAATCTTCCAGTTCCGGAGGAATACAAAAATATCGTCAGAATGTTCGTCGCTATGAACATCGCGCTGCACTGGTATTGAATCGGGACGGTAAGGAGTTGTTTAGAATATGTGACGGAGCATTTGCCGTAGGATCGAGACTGGACCACAAGGAATGGCATTCAATTCCGCTTTGCACAAGAGGGTCGTTGATGATCCCCCAGCAGCAGCTTCCGGAAAACCTCTAAACTTCAGCATTATTTCTGCACACGAGCTCTGGAATCCTCTACAAAGTCGATCAATATTCAACTCATGACTTGCAACACTAGAACCCGATCTAAATCCTCGAAAGGAAGTGGCGTTAACAAGAGCGATACTGCTACCCAGGGGAACTCCCATTCTACGTGCCTAGAGACAAATGCTGGGGAAACACAAAACTCACACTTCTGTGTAGAGTGAACAAGCACCTCCCGATTGGACTTTAACACAATAAAACAGACCAGCGATGGGTACACTTTGACAGGATGGGAAGCACAACTTCAAGTCTCCACTGCTCCAGAGATCTACATCACCAAAGCACATCTTTACCGCATCAAATTGCACAACAAACAGCGTCCACAACATTAAAAAAAGCACACTCCACAACATCGCGTATCAGCCTCTAATCTCGTCTGCTTGTGGGCAACTCCTTCCCCCTTCCCGGCACCCACCTGGGGTGACGAGTGAGATTGGGCTACGTAACTGTAAAATTGGAACCTGATTTTACTAGGACACTAGAATTGTGATGAAGGCCGTAGAGGTAGCACCCGGGCACACCGACACTCCCATCAATCCCATAGTTGGCAACCTATTCTCGGCCACTTTGTGTGAAATCTTCGATTCAGTTCAAGCTGGGTTGTGCCGAAGACTGCGTCTAGATTCAAGACCAACTCATTGAACTATCGCTGCAACCAACTTTGTGTCGATGCCTCGAGAAAAAAACAATGCGCATTCCTGTTGATTAGCATCGACGTGACTGGAAATTTTTGCCTTCTGCCACCGACTGCATGCAAAAGTTTTGACAGTTTTCGGCATATGTTGCATGTTTTTTGTTGCATGATGTTGGGTATGCACAACATCAAACAGACAGATGAAATGCTTGTTTTCAGTTTACGGCAGACGACCATTTCCATTTTGACAACTTTGTATACAACTTCAAACCGAAAATCTTTGTTTTTTCAAACAAAAATTAGACTGCTTGTGAAGTTCAAATTCAAAATTACAAATACCAAATTTGGTAGTAGTTGGATGTTTTTATTATTGACAAGTGTTGTGCGACATTTCTTTTTGAAAATGTGTTGATGACAAAGGATGAGATGAATATTTGAGAGGGTAAAGAAGGTTTAGAGTGTTTATTTGGCTATGAATGCAAGAATATAAAATGTGAAGATAATTTTATTTTAGACTACAATTTTTAAAGTTATGGTTTAAAAAAAGTTTAGGGATAATAAAGTATTGTTTTAAAATGTTTTTGGATGTCATAACTAACCTAAAAAAATACGTAGTGATGTAACGTGAAGAATCTCAAAAATGCCTTTAATTAATTGTTCTTGAATGATCTGATTTAAGATTTATTATTAGTTATTACTTTAAAAATATAGATGTAAAACTAACTAATAATTGATATATGTAAGTAATTAATTACAAAGTAATTTTCTTAAGGTTTCAGATACGCTAAAAGAAGAATTGCAATCAATTATTGTAAAATGATTTTTTATTATTTGTTTATTTAATTTTGTTGTAAAAGTGCATTATTAAAAAAAACTCAAACAAATAATAAATAAATACATGAAGCATATCATTGCTGATACAATGGCTTTGGTCATAAAAGGACATAAATTCTACTAACGATAGTTCTTAAAGTAATGTTGTAGAGCAAGTAGAACATGGAAACCAATTGCAATCAAAATAAAATGACTAATAACTAAGGAGACTAACAGAACTGGATTTCCACAATTCACTGTTAGTGAACAAACAAACAAGATGCTCTCTGTAAGCAAGTAGTGACAAGGCTAACTCATTGAATGTGCAGCTCCATTCACGCCAAAACTTACACGCTAAGATAAAATATAACTATTTTCCCTTCATGAAAAAAGTACAGGCCGCACACCATAAGATACCATCAAAGTGATGATCTCTTCGATAACCCTATCCATCTACAACAATGCAGAAGCGACCGACTCCAGTCGATTGCATGACATAGTCTTTGAGGCATAAAGCTGCAAAGAAATAGAACTACCCTCAAAATCATCTCTGCATTCGCTACTTTCCAACACACAACACCACGAAATTGATGATATAAGCCTCCAAACTGAAAACCAGAGCAAACGCTAAACTACCAGCACTCAACTGTAATGTATATGCAATACTTCCAGGAAAATACCTCTATAATCAATATTAGATCCAGTTTGTGTCCAACCCTTAAACCTTCCATACATCACCGGAACCTTCAAGACTAAGGTGATCTCTCGACCGTGTTAACCAACCGCAAAAGAATGGTAACATTTCGTTGCTAATCGTGATAAAAGCAACGACATCCAACCCCCCCAGATCACGCCACTGTCATGTTGTAGGGTTGTCTCATGTTCTGACCTCGCCTGGGGTTCGCAGTGATAGCAGGGAGTGCATGATAGGCATGCTGGTAAGTTTCTCGATCTGGAATCTGGGGTCTGGTATAAGTTGGATTGGAAGACAAGACAGCAGGATGGACGTAGCACCTGTCATGAAAATTGATGAAACTACAATCATGAGTAAATCAGAAGTTACTGCATTTGTCAATTGATTCACAAGTAATAATTGAACCCCACCTTTCATGAACACTAAAATCACCACGTTATCCAAAAAGAAGTACGAATACACACCAAGTTGGAGGAGTTGGCACAGAAGGATTGGTCGTCGGTGTCGCTGAGCCGCGAGCATGTGATAATGGAGGGATAGCTGATAAATTACAGGTCAATTTGATGATCAGTAATTACTTATTAGAGTACAACAGATTCTCATAAACCTGGTCTTAACATTTCAGACAAATCTTTGAACACAGATGCCAGGAACAGTGCACTCCATACCTGGACTAATAGACGGTCGAATAATAGCTGGCCTCACTTTACCACTTGAGATTGGACTGCCATGCTGGAAAAAGAAATAAAAAAGACTTAGATTCTCACAAAAGATTTTAAAAACTTGCAAAACTTTGTGAACACAAATAGCAAAGAGGAGAGGAGCATGTGACGTTTTTAAACATAGATACCTGTTTTGTCCAGAGAGCGCTTCCGCGCCTAACGCCTGTAAACAAACATACCATGGCAATCCAAGTTTGAGAACACAATCCTATGGTCTTTCTTGATATACACTGAATTCCCCAAGTGTAAATGAAACAAGTTTTGAACACTCTCTTACCTGCTTGACCTTCAAACTCGTTTTTCATCAAAGAGTTTGCCTTGACCACTGCAATGGTAAAGCAAATCAATAACAACATGCAAAAACATAAACAGTTTGTGGACAATCCATTAGACACCCAATAAAGATGACCAATGCTCCACAAAATATTACATTACTAACATGTCCACGAACTCTGGAAAAAATGAAATAATCTACTTAAGCTTAATATACTCAAAAGCATTAATTAGCTGCAAAAACTAAATTAAGAGGTCTTCGTTCACCAATTACTAGGAAAAATTGATCAGATCCAAGTATCTCCAAAATTTCACAACAGATTGATAAGTTAGATAACAAACCAGAAGGTATGAAGGTCTTCGCTTGCGCTAATTCGCATCCAGGAATACGTGCTCGGATACGCTGATGAATCTGTGAGCACTAGAAAAATCTCTCATTTGCTAGCACCCAGGGAAGTAACTGCTGACAATAATAACATATTTCCTAAGATTTTACATTTCAACCTAAAATAAAGCGCCAGACCGGCAATATTTCGACTGAACACACAGAAGCAAACCTTTTAATAATCACGACAAAATCAGAAATGTAAGAGCCAAGGAACGACGACTAACACATCAAAAGAAACTTTACCTGAAAGAATGGGTGCTGCAACGCCTGTGAAGCCGTCGGTCGGTTTCTAGGATCCCAGACGCACATAGCCTGCAAAGAATAGCAATTTGTTAAGCGCCAAAGTAATAAAATCATGGTGCACCTGCCAATGTTCGAATCATGACATATAGAGTGTTTCTCAAGTTCATCTAAATCCTTTTTAAGATCACGAGCATTTCTATTAAGATCACATCAAAATCGTCCCCCTCAGGCTTTTACTTCAGATGAGGAACTGTCGGTGCTTTTATCGCCGACATGTGCTTGAAATCAGGAAGAAATCATGATTGTACTCAATAGTGGCATCCAGAACTGCAATTGTCCTTTAGAATATATTCCCTAAACATTTCACATTCCACCATAAAAGAAGAATATGAAAATACGATAATACGAAAATTCTAAAACTGACAAAAACTAGCCTCAAAAGAGAATAGCTTACAGATATCAGATTGATGGCTTCTGGGCTGGCAGACGGAATCAGAGAGAGAGAGAGAGAGAGAGAGAGAGAGAGAGGTCTATACAGCAACGGTTACAACCATACATAACTGATAAGAGATCATAAACACAGAATAAATAGGTCATGTGCTTGAGTGCTCTCCAAAGAATATTGTTTGGATGCAGAAAAACGAGAACAGAAAATTTAAAAACCTCATAACATAAAAGCTGACCTCAACATTTAACAGCACATCAACACGATGAAGAGTTCAATACCTATAGCGGCACAATAAGTAGGGGACTGCAAGAGGACTTCAGGAGCTCGGTACCTGCATACAGTACAAAATATTGATGTAAAAAAATAATAAAAATAATAAAAAATAAAATAAAAATAAAAACTGAAAAGAGTAAAAATAATAAAATAAAATAAAATAAAATAAAATAAAAAACAAACCACGAGTTACAGCGAGGGAGTAGTACCAACGAGTGGAGACATAGTCTGTGTACGGTGGACACGAACGCACTTCTCTCGCAAGTCCGAAATCGGCAACCTTGATCACATCCTTCGTAACCAGCAAATTTTCTTTGAAAGAATAAAGAGCGAAAGGAAGATTAAGAAGAGTGGAAGGCCAGACGTAAACATCTTATCACATATTCAACACTCAGAGCTTTACAGTGACCTTTTAAGGATGCAAATATACATAAGCAGGGAACTTGATTTCCACATAATCCTAAAGGTGACAAGGAACTTTACACACCTGGTTTAAGATCCCTGTGGAAGTAACCATGCTTGTGCATATACTCCAAAGCTTGTAGAATCTGAAAAGCCAGGCTTCGTATTTTGGCTTCAGGAAAAGGTTTATCGTTGTCCTTACTAAGCTGGTATAGATTGTACTCCTGCACATGTATACGCGAATCAACACCAAAAAGTGTTACAGATTAGTTTTTCAATCTGATCTCAACAGAGGATATATAAATCGCATATTTCTTCTACAGATATGAGTTGATAGCCCAGAGCAATCAGCTCACCATATACTCGAAAACAAAAAAAAGTTCATCGTTTTCTCGGATGACTTCCTTCAACTTCACAATGTTGGGGTGCTTCAACTTTCGCAGAGACTGTCAAAACCACAACTGTTTTTTGAGGCACATCTCAATCAAGATTTGTAAAGGATAAATAAAATGTCAAGGATATCTCGACGAAGACCTTCCGCATAGAAATTCTCGATGACCTATATGCAAACGAAAATGGCAAATCTTTACCTTCACTTCTCTAAGGTTCATGCATTCGTCCCATGAGTAAAACTTCCTCTTCATCTTCTTTATCGCCACAACCTCGTTAGTAACATTATTAACCGCTTTCCAGACACTTCCATATGTCCCATCGCCCAACTGCCTCATAACCTTATACCTAGAGCATTGACAGAGCACAAGATAATCCTCCACATGAATATACAAGAACCTGAAATAGAAACGAGAATGATCTCAAAAACTCATAAATCTCATTGAGCGATCTATTGAACTTGCTCATAAACTATTGCCCAGGCCCAAATAGATTTGAAGGGAAGGAAAATACAATAAAAATGAAGTTACGTACCGCTCCATGCTTCGTTAGAGGTGTATGACTGGGAAAATTTATACAGTGAATGTATTACCCATAGATTTCCAATCCGTATGATGTAAACAAAAAGCTAGGCTGCTGCATCTTCCTCTCGTAAATTTCCTTAAACCAGCCTCCCTGTAGTATCCGCTTCGACAAGGAAACCGTCCATATTCTATCTGACCTCCGTATGAATAGTGTCCATTCATTTCCAAACAGGGTGATTACGTCAAAGGTGTAAACTAGATGTAATCCGAGCTTCAGAGCGCAGCGGCGGCAGCGCTGCCAACAAATCCATTCTTGGAGAAGGTTGCTGCGTCACATAAGCTTCCAGTGCCACAGTGACGGCGGTAACACGTAACCCAAACCAGGTGACAAGAGGCAATAGCTCCATAACTTCAAGGAGCGCACACATCCTTCAAACCACAAAGCGAATATCACGCCTCTCCAATGATGTACGCAGAAGCAGCAACACCTGATTGACGAGAGAAAGGGAGCATCCCATAAATCGTGCCATGTGTCTTTGAAAGCTAAAGATGGCGAACAACAAATCTGATAGATTCACTATATCACAGACAACAAATCTTCACTGGAGGGGCCAAAGTAAAAGAGTGGTAAAAAGTCTGGAACTTCTGAAAGAGGCAAGGGTCAACTGCAGTCAGGGGCTGTAGGACCAAAATTCATTCATTTCTTGTGGCACAGATGCGCGGTTCAGATAATTACTAAATAATTACTATTGCATCTCTTGCATACATGCTGCTATTTGCGAGCTCCGTCGCGATACAAAAAGTCACCGTAGCAACAACAATGACAACATTATCGATGAACATACAAACAGGGTCACGAGTTCCAAGTACACGTCCGAGTGGACGCGATTGGGCGGTTAAAGAAGACGTGAGGCAAAACAGCTCAAAACACAAGGCTCGCATCCACTTAACCAACAAGATCTCCACAAGTCACACGTAATTGTTGACCAGTAACAAAATCCAGTGTCAGCCTCACACAATCCAGGAAACGGCGTTGCCACCGCAATCAACGCACGGTTTAGACAATGCATGACGTTTTCAGAGGAATTGATGAACCACATTACAACTGGCTTCATAGAATTCGAAAGCCGCCGAAGCTAAAACTAAACTCATTACCTCGAACACCGAACAAACCCCGACAAGGCTTCTTCAAGACGTCACTAAGTCAGGCTATACAGTGTCAACATGTAACCATCCCAAGGAAAGGGCAAAATGAAGGCCGACTACTCACTCAAACCAGGACAACACACGCCAGAAGCTAACCTCCCAGTGATATACTAATGAACTCGTAAAACCAGAAATTGCTCATCATCGCAGAAAGAAGTGTCGTCCAAGGGCACAAATTCTCACCGAGACAACACTGCCCTCCTCGAGCGCAAACCGGCTAATCCCTCGTCGACCTCCGCCTCTTCAGTGCACGAAGCGAAACAGCAACATCCTGAAACCCCAACCACCACCGCATCCAGAGCCACGGCATCCACACTACGCCAGAGCCTCTGCCGTCTGAGAGCGACGAACAGCATACAAACTGCGAGGCAAAGCCACCAGCAAGACAGGACTAAGGGAAAAAACAACAAAACCAAAAATAGAAAAGGCAAAAAAACACAAAAGCAAACCACGGAGGCTCTCGCGGACACTCTCTCTCGCCACATCCGCACCCTCACTTCCGGATACGTCACTGCAATTAATACGAACGATTTCGTTTCCTCTACGGATCTCATCGCTCCTTCTCTGTGAACGCTTCCTCGCTTCATGGCTGCTGCACCATCGCTGAACCTCCACGGCAAAAAAAATCATCGAAAAACATAAAATGAATTAAAAAACACCTCCATGTAAAAAAAACCCCGAGAACACTTGTGCATTCACACGCGGGCCGGGCCTTGTGCCCGGTTACATGAACAATCTCGATTCATTCGTTCGATATGGAGAAGTTCGTCGTTGGAGGACGTTCATCCATGTTGTGGCATGGGAACATGAGCCCAGGGAAGCGTTCCCATGCTCGCAGGGATGTGCTATGCTGCAATTAAACTAATTCTGGGCTTAGTGAGTTGTTTACCAAATAATGGTCACAAACTTATTAGGGATATCGAAGTATGAGGAAGTCATTAGGGAATTTTTTTTTTTTAAAGGGATATGATGAAGATGGAATGTAATATTAAGAGAGTATTTGTTGAGGACATACAAGGTGAATCTGAAAAATCATTAGTTCCACCTAAAGTTGTCTTCTTTACTTTTTTGTTTTTAGTTTATTTTCTATTTTTAATATGGAATTTTTACTATTTATAAAGTAGAAAATGATAATAAAATATGTATTTCCATTTAAAAATTTTATTTTCTTTTAATAGATGGGATGACATATGAAAGGCATCAACAACTTTTGCATCTGTTTTGTTTAACCATTAATCAACATAAATTTTCTCAGACCATTTTTTTCATATTATCCTTCTAATACCATTCTTCTATTTGTATGTCCACAACTAAATTATAAAAAAATATAGACATGTATGAATTTTCATTTTTACAAATATGCTACAATTATACTTTAATTGTTATCATATATTATAATATGTATTTAAAATATATTATCATTAATATAAATATTAATTCTATATAATACACAATTATTTTTAAATACACATTATAAGAATCTCTATTAATTTGCATAAAAGACTCTAAGATTTTGTACGCCATTAATGTGCCGAATTTCATCATTTTAGATTTCAGAAAATTGGACTCCTTTCAAACTTGGTATGTTTGCATATTTATTTTGAGGTATTTTACATCAAATCCATTACATTTCAATCATAATCAATGTCACAAGAGACATAAAGTAATTTAAGAAATATTTTGTATAGTTTAATACATGATTGTGATGCAGTGGTTGGGGACTTATGGAGTATATCTAGAAAGTTAAAAAGCATCGACAATATTTTGTTTATTTTGCTTTCATTTTTTTCAAATACCTATTACACTATTGTATGCCTATGAATAAATTCTAATAAGCTATCTATTTATTTAAGTTGAATATAAGTTCTAGAAATGTTTAAACTATTATATAAATTCATCTTATCAATTATAAACATAATTAGCTTCAAAATTTGGAAATATTTTTATTTAAGAGAAATCTTATTAGAAATTTTGTAATTTGATTGTGAATTATCATGATAATTTACAAAGATATAATATGTTATTTTTTAATTTTTAATTTTTTAATTAAATAAATGATTTAATCATGTAAAACACAAAAATTTAAAATTATGTGGTTCACTTCAGATTGAAAACTCCCTATTAAACCTAAAAGAATATTGGTTAAGAAAATTACTCCAATAATTGAGGTAGTTGCACCTCTAGAAGTGGAAAATAAGTAAAAGTAGAAATAAGAATGAACTTGAAAACGAAAGGACTATTGAAAAGCTTTTAGGATGCCCAAGTTCAACAAAGTGAATTCCTTTATGTTTAAAAAAAGTGATAGTGAGAGAAAAAGAAAAAACCATAGATCTCAAAGAGTCACTACTTCCAAAGAAAATCAAAATTCTATAGAAGTTTGTCAAAGTAAAAAATAAGATCTTTTCTTGAACACCATTCAAGATTTGATTGCTAAAGCCCTTAAGAAAGAAAGGAAGATTGCCAAAATGAGTCAAGTTATGATTGATCTCTTCTTAGAAAGCATTAAAAACAAAATGATGTAAATTAAAGACCTAAAAGGAGATTTTTATTTATTTATTTATTTTAGAATCAAGATGGATCAATCCAAGCAATAGAAAGAAACAAAATAAAAAAAAAGGCTTGTAAGTGGTTCTTAAAAGAAGTAGAATATTGCCATTTTAAAAAAAAAAAAAAAAAAAAAAAAAAAATGTTGACAAGCTTTGAACCTTATTGGCTTTGCTTGAAGAAAATATCTTTAATTAATTTGATGGTTTTAACTATTCCAAAGAGACTTCTTGTAAAGAAATATGTAAAAGTCACATTTTAAGGTTTGAAATGAAATGTCAAAATTTTATTGAGGGTTTGCAACTCTTTAAGTAGAAAAAAGAAGAAGTAAGGAACTTTCTTTAAATATATATGGATGATTTCTAAAATCAACCCTCATATACTCAATTAGACTTTGATAAATGATTTCTTTTCTTTCTTCTTCAATGGTCCTAGAAAAGAGACAAGAAAAAAAAATACTTTAAATAAAAAAATAATTCTTAAAAATTTGATAAAGCCTTTAGGTGGACTTTTTTAACTTCAAGTATAGAAGCAAGAGAGTATTTAACATCAAAGGGTGTCTAAATCTTAGAAATGTAATTCCAAAGAAAAGAAGTCTTTTCATAGTAAAAAAAGATATTTTTTAAAAATAAAAAACTATAAATAAAAGTAATAATCTTCAGAATTTAAGAAAAACAAAAACCAAGAGACTAAGAAGGCTAAAATCTATGTAAGTATGACTTGCTTGAAGTACCAAAAAAATGGTCATTTTACAAGTGAGTATAAGAATAAGAAAGTTTTTAGAGAGATAAGTGAACTTTCTAACTCTTTGTTGAATGTATGTTTTTAAAGCTCAAAGCAAATTAAAAACCAAAAATTAATTAATATTCTTAGTTAGAGCCAAAGAGTATTGATAATAAAATAAGATTCTGAAGGCAAAATCACCTTGACAACATTTTATAAGAAACTAAATCTACATGAGTGTTAAGATTGCTAATAAAAAAGTATCTATGTTAATTAATACAAAGGCCACAAATTTGTTTGTATATCATTTATGTGCTAAAAGATTGGACATGACTCATAAACAAAAAAACAATAAAGGTCTCTTTTGCACAAAGTAGAGACACAAAAAATTTAAAAGCAATAATGTTCAAGTATAGAAACATAAGATTTTAAGAAGACTTCATAGTTTTCAATCTTAGTGGAGTAGATAACATGTTGGGAAATACTTTTATAGGCTTTTATAGAATAGAGATAGTATAAAAACCTATAGAGAAACTAATCATGGTTAGAAAGAATGAGAAAGTAATAGACTTATCATTTACAAACCTTCTCATGTTATATGAATCTAATATATATATATATATATATATATATATATATATATATAGTCACATAAAGTCAATTAAAAAATAAATAACTCCTTCTTCTTTCTTTACATAAGAAATTTAGAATTTGATATAGACTTTGAAAATAGAAAAGATATGAAGCCAAGGAAAAAACTAAAATTAAAAAGATATAGAAAATATCTTTTGAATGAATTTAAAGATATATTAAAAACTAAATCATCATTACAACTTTTAGCTTGTAGGATTGTAGATCATTAGATATATTTTATTTTAAGTTTAGAACCTTCTAATAAAACATTCTATAGACTCAATCAACTTAAATTGATTGAATTGAAGCAATAAAAAAGTAAGTTTTTTGACACAAGGTGCATAAGAGTATGCAAGTCACTCTTTGAAGAACCTATATCTCTTTTGATAAAAAAATAGAAAATTAGAAATTTCTACCAATTATAGGATCTAAAATAAATCACTATTAAGAACAACTATCCACTTCTAAAGATTAATAATTTATAGGATAGATTGAATGATAGTAAGTATTTGAGTAGAATTAATCTTAAATTGGAATATTATTAAATAAGAATTATTAATAAAGATATTAAAAGGATGGCTTAAAAAATAATATATGGTTTATATGTATTGCTTGTAATACCATTTGAAATATATATTATGTTATCTATCTTTAAGATCCTTATAAATTTAATCTTTTATGGTTAAATTTATGACTTTGTAATGATATATATATATGTATATTAATATTATTTTTATATTTTAAAAAAGTAAAAATGATCATAAGAAAAAACTAAAGATAGTATTAGAAAAACTTAGAACTGATAAATTCTATTTTGATTCAAAAATTATGTCTTTTTCATAGAAAAATTATAATTTCCACATTATATAATCAATAAAGAAGGGCTTATGCTGAACCCTATGGAGTTAATTTCAAATGATTTTTAATAGCCTTAAATGTAAAAAATAGTAAAAGATTTTATAAAATCTTAAAATATTTGTTTAAAATCAACGATCTCTTGTCATCAACCTAATAGACCTTTTTAACCATTATTTATACCAAAACAATTATGGTGACATGTTTTTATAGATTTTATTACAAATCTTCTAATTTCAAGATCATATGATTTTATATTTCTTATAATAGGTTTTTTAATTAAAATTATATTTTATATCACATATAAAATCTATCATATGTAAAAAAGTAATTAGATTTATTCGTGAAAACATCTATTGCTATCATAGATACTAACATATATTATATCAAATAGGGAGACTAAATTTGAATGTAAATTTTAAAGACTTATTTTCAAATAAATGAATATAAAAATATAATATGAATATAAAACTATCATTGGTTTTTTGTCTTCAAACTAATAAACAAACAAAATAAGTGAATTAAGTGTAAGAGTAGTTTTTGCATAATATCATTAACTACCATTAAGATGATTTGAAAATACTTTTACCATTAACAAAGTTTGTTTACAATATTATGATATATTCTTCTATTTAAAAATTTATCATTTTATGCTAATTATAATTTTTATCTACTATTTGATGCTTTTAACTTTTTAAAACTCGACAAGCACAAAGTGAAAGATTTGGGAAGTTGTTTATGAAAGATATATACAAAAATAAAAGTACAATTACAAAAAGCTCAAGGACAATAAAAGATTAATACATATACCTATTAAAAGAAATAACCTTAATTTTAGATTGGTGATAAGATATGATTACTTTGTTGTAATATAAAAATTAATTGTATACATGACAACTTGGATTTTGTAGACTTGGACCATTTTTTATTAGTAAAAAAAATCAAACTGGTCACATTTTGAATATGTCTATTAAAATCAATGAAGATTTATCCAATTTTTGTATATGTCTCTTCTTAAGTTAGACAAGTTGGTGGATATTCAAAGATGAAGATAATTGCCACCTTTAAAAATAGATGCCAATATCAATTTAAAGTTTGAAGTTGAAGAAGTATTGGATTTAAGGCAATGCCAAAATAAATTTAAATAACTTATACATTGGCACAGATATGATATTAACAAATGTACATGAGAGTTATATGAATATCTAATAAATGAATCAAAACTTGTCTTTGTTTTCCATTGAAAATATCTATATCAACCAAGGACTAAACATTGATAATAACATGATTTAAATCAAGAATAGGCAAGTTTGAGGATCAACTTATAGAACTTTTTTGCAAACATAGAAAATCTTTATCAATTAAATTCATCTTATGAATTGTGATTTACAAAAAAATTAAACAATGCATTTAAATTATCTCAACCTAAACAACATTGCAATCGTGAATGGCTATTATCAAAGACAAAAATACTAGAGATTCTCAAAAGAGATATGTCCTTCTTTGAATTGATGAAAAAAATACAATGTATTTGGTACCATGATTTTAAAAGAAACTCTTGATGCTTAGTAATACTATTAGAGGTGGGTACTATACTTAATGGAATATAAAATGTATTGTTTGAAGGTAGTTATGAAGGCCCCAATAATAATCAAATAACTAGGTGATTTTGTCTTTGTATGAGACATTATTGATAGTTGAAAGAACATCTATAATTACTAGTATATTTACTTTAAATGAGAAAAATTAGATAAAAAAATAAACAAGAATAAATTGAATTGATAATAGCTTTTTATTAAACTTCTTAAAAGCTTCATAGATGCAGATTTGACTTTGTATATATTTATAGATGATTGGTTAGTTGAAAACATTGCCAACAAGTTGGCTAGATGTTGCACATATTAGCCACTTGTATTACAATTTGATCATGTAGCACACATATTGGAAACTTGTCATATAAGTTAAACATGTGTCTAGCAAATTAAACACATGTCATATTGCATGCAAGACATTTTCATATAACTTCTTAATTAGATAATATATATAGAGACAAGAAAGTAGTCTTCTTTATTTTTTTTCAATATCTTTTTTGCTTCTAGTCTAGTTTCAAAAATCTCTAGTATTTTTGTCTTTGACAATAGCCATTCTAGTTTCTTTTTGGATGTATATTTTCATATAGATTTGCTAAATAATATTACAATCACAAGTTTTTAAACAACCAAGTTTACAATAAAATATTCTTCAATAAAAGTTGTATTCATAAAAGTCATAATATATTTATATAAATTATTATTAAATATATATATATATATATATATATATATACAAACTTGACACATTAATATCATTCATAAATTTTTATTATACTGAATATAAATCACTACAATAGAAATGTTATAATAAATAAATTGTTGAAAACAATTAAATATGTTATTAAGTAAAGTTATTCTACAACATTTTTGTGGTTGAATGTGAGAGAGTTAAGTCACATTTGATAATAAAATCCATCTGAAAAAATAAATAATTATGATTTGAAAGACAAGTAAGTTATGCTTCTGCATGTATAAATCAATCCTAAATATTTGCATACATAGTTTTAAGGTATCAAAGAAAAGGTTATATGATATATGGTACAAAAAAATTATTTTGTTTTACTTTTGTGGAAGTTATTGAAATGTACGTGCAAGGCGGACATACAACATGACAGCAAGCCCTTGCCTTCCGAACAACTTTGCAGGTAACAAAATGAAAAATTGGAGGTGCAGAATGACAACTATTGCAAAAAAAAACCTCAAGATCTGAATGTATTTCCAGTATTTCAGACTCTTTCAATTCGGTTCTGATCTCAAAATGTATTACTGCAATCTAAATGACTAGAGGTCTGCAAACAAGACAGAATTGAATCCTCTTTTGAATATCAGAATATCCGTCAACGTTACAGAACATAAATGACATTTCAAGAGAAGCATCCTCCAATTAAGCACATCAATATCTGATACCAAACAAAGACTGATACGATCCAAAAAATACACATGCTGTCTGATACCTGACCAACTGGCACCTCAAGCGAGAACGAAAAATTACAGACCAAGTTTTATCCTCAATAAGAGTTCCAGTACACTAGCTTGATTCACGAGATCGCCAAAATTTGGGTCTGTAAATTGGATAATACCAGCTGCAACTGAATCATCATCTATACAGTTACCTTGGCACTTTTGTCAGCAATTTCAGCTACTATTCCACAAGTTGAGGATTCCTCGAACACTTGTCAGCTCCGTGAAGCTCAAGCATCCTCATCGTAGGATTGCAAAGCCCTGTGAGCAAAATGAACTCAAAAGAGATTAATCATTGCGTCACCTTGACGAAACGCATCGTTCCGAGTGCAGAAATGCATAGCACCTTCAGTTGGTATTTGATAAGAGAAACTTCGAAATCCAAATAGCAGCATGCTTGTTGGGGTTGAGTTCACTATGATTGCCCAACTCGTAGCAAAAGCATCATCAAGGACTTCGGCTTTTGTCACATTTACAAGAGCAAATTTCTGAATAGGGAAGACCAGTCAAATGATACAGAAATGAAAAGAAAATGCAGCTCTTATATCTTACCAGAGCATTTTGGAAGATCCCAGACTGCTATTGCAGTGGGTCCACACTTTGTTGCGCAGATATCACGATTATCTTCATGTTCCACATCCATTGCTAACATCCATACACCTATGGTTACATCTTCATTGATGAACATGCGATACCTGCGACAATAATCCAGATTACATTTGGATACTATATTAAAAGGTTTCCCTCCAGCACATCAAGTTGCAGTGACCAAACCATTAACGACATATTAATGACTTCCAGTTGAAGTAGGCTTACTGCTGTGAGTATCACCTCAGACCTAGATTTAGTCAGGAGGATTAACCTCAAGCAATGCAGCAGCATTAGTTTGTTCAGTTCACAAGACACCAAGATACAGTAGGTGTTTCTAACAACTATCTTCTACAATACCAGACGAGTGGTAACGTACATATGGTCTTTGGTAGCTGCAAGATTCGCCACAACTTCTTTAGATAAGCCGTATATCGGTCCGTATGCATGTAGGAAATACTCCCTCCCGACCATATACGCCTTAGGTTCATACCTGCATCAAGAATCTTTATAATGAAACCCTGTCGTGCACGAAAAATAAAAAATAAAAAATAAAAATTCAAGCATTGGTATACATGACAAGAAAGTCCTATGCTTTGTGGCTTACGAGGACACACACTCGTAAGTAAGAAGTACTACGCATGAGTTGGATAAGGTTCAATCTTACAAGACGAAAACGAACAATGACACTGAACGAAAGATTAAGCACAGCAGTGTGCTCACCACTTGTACTTGGGATCTGTAACAACTGGGCCCTTTTTCATGCAGCCCAAATATACTCTTGAACTTCCTCGTGGTTTGGATAGCAAAGTAGCTAAACGATCTGTGAACAACAAACCCAACAAACAGGTCAGAAGCTGAGTGCAACATCGTACGTCACAAACGACCACAAAATGATGAGGCCACTTGCAGAAGAAAATGACAGGAGCGGCACAACCCTCAATCATAATTTTAAGACAAAGCACAATCATCAAGGGATGAAAGTCGTGCAGAGAATAGACACAAATCAAATAGATAAAATAATCAAGCACAAACAAGGACAACTCTCATCGGTTGAAATTGACGAAAAAGTCTCAAGACACATACTGTATCACAAACCTGGGCGCAAGTAAATATCATCATCAATCTTCATGTAAAAATCTGCATCATACAGCGCATATGCTGTGCGAAAGTAAGCTAACCTGTTCAAGTAAGGACATGAAACCAGAAAAATCAGTGCCACTAGAAAGAAATGAATTGGCAACAGTGCATTCAGATCAGTTATCTACTGCAGCTGTTATAGCAAAACAATAGAGCTTGCTAGTATTTTTTAGCTTGAAACATTCTACAACTCATTTTAGGTTCGAAGGTCACTTAAGAGAAAGGGCGCTTTGATACTTTGCAAATATGGTTCTCAGCTAAATGAGGCAGAAAAGAGCCCGCCATCTTGATACTCCAAGAAACTATTAAAATCACAAAAAAATAGCTTACTATATCCATCTAAACCAAGAATACACATTGAAGATGGCAGCAGAGAACAATCACGTACAATCATCAGAAAAAGCATTCCACCTCGTGTATTGATGGCTAAATCTCAAAAATATTTCCACCATGATCTGCGACAGTTAAAAACCACCTACGTCTTAAGATTAAGCTTCTTGTACTTCTCGTCGATGTCAATGAGCATGAAGTCCTTGTGCTTCTCCACCTCCTCTTCCAAGGCCTTCATCTTCCGACCCTCAGTTGTGTGGCCAATCACAAACCTGAATGCCAATCCGGTAGTACTCTCCAAACTGCAGAGACGAGATTCAGTCGGATGCATCACACATGACGTCGAAATTACTAAACACAACCTGAAAGATGAATAGATCTCGTGGCACGAAATTAGGCAAGGGTGAAATCTGCAACTTGTAATTCCAATCGGCAGCAATTTTACAAGTACTCCTAACCACTGTGCCCCCAAAGCAAAATACACAGTCCGTTTCTACATCGCAGATTGAAAGGCAGGGATGAACCCAAAATGCGAATAATGAATCGACCCACTCTCCAATTTGATCCGAAAAGAAGTCAAATACCTGAAATAAAAGCATACCTGGCAAGCTCCTCCGGAGTAGTCGGGAACCACGTCTCCCGGAGCACCTTCCGCCTCAGACCTGAGTCAAACCCAGTGTTAATTCCAACAAAAGCCAACACTTTGGGCCTCGCCAAGTCCTTCCGTTCGCCATCTTGATCAACAAGCTTCACAAATCCACTCCTCCCAGCACCGTCATCCTGACGCGACGCGACATAAGACAACCCATAACCCGATCCACCATTGGCACGCACAGGCCGAACCTCACCACTCCCACAGAAGATCGCCAAATCCCGCACACCCTCAATTCGCAACAGCAACACCCACACCAGCGACGTCATCACAATGGCCCCATACACCACGCCATTGTCCCACCCAACGCGCGAAGCACCGTTGGCCGCGCGTCCGCGCGCCTTCTGCTCCTCCCCATAACCTCCTTCATTGCTGCTGCTGCTCATGGGCAGCGCCGTTGCCGACGATTTCCGAATGCACATTCCGAAACCCGGCATCTTGCTAAAATCACTAAAATCACTCACTCACTCACTCACCCACTCCCTCACTCCCCGTAGCTGACTGACTACCCACTTCCTCCTCTTCCTCCTCCTCCTGCTTCTGCTTCGTCTTCTACTCCCATAGCTTCTTCATCTGCTTCTTCTTCTTCTTCTTCTTCTGCTGCTGTTACTGTTCCCGAACTCCTTCTCCTTCTTCTCACCACTACCATCACGCGGGGTATGCCATCCCTCGCCCCATCAAGCAATCAATCGGCAGCTTTAAATTCCTCTCTCTCTCTCTCGGACTGTGCGGAATCCGCAATCGCATGGTCGCCCTGCGCATTCGCTCGCTCGCTGCGGTGCAGCTTTGCGTTGATTTGCATGGCCTGGCTCTTGTGCTTCTTCTTCTTCGTCGTCTTATTTACTTTTCGCCTATCAATGTTTCGTTTTGTGAATTATTATCAAGATTAGTGTTTCATGTTGGCTTCCAATTTATCTTTGCTCAGCTGTTGTTTATTGTTGCGTTTTAAATAGATGCTGTCGTCTATTTTCATTGTTTGCCTACAAGGGGCAGAAATTATGACATGTGTTGAAGAGATTCAAAGTTGGAATCTTTTTAAGGTTACAATTTTGTAATTTTTGTGACATATTTTTGTTTGATTAAGTTGTTTTGTATAAGATAATGAACTTCTTTGAGCCTGAGATTGTCACATTTCATCCACACTCATAACTTTGCAGTGTTTTCAAAAATGTTTAAACAATGAGATGGACTTTTGTGTACATTTTAATGAACACTCCACTCAATCTTTTGCTGTAAATAGTAAAAATAAGTAATGCCATTTGATTTATTCGGAAGTAGCTTGAATCATTTTTCAAATTCATTTAATCAACTACTTTATCAATATTTGACTAGATGAACCCTGTAGTTGTCACAGAAAGTGACTCAAATGAAGCATTTACTGAGCCAAATAATATTTTTCAAATACAATACAATACAAATAAAAAGAGATATATAATATACAATGGAGCTTTCAGCTACGAAGTAGGATAGGTAAATTTGTGCTATTGTCAGGTAAATTTGTGCTATTGTCACTGATAATATGCAAAAAAAGTAGTTAATTTTATTCGAGGAACTTCTTGTGAATTTTTTTAAAGAGGGGTGTTGGATTACATTAAAAAATCATAAAAAAGTGTTAAGACATTCAAAGATGTAGTAAAGTCAATAAATTAATTAATTAAAATACAAAATATAAAAATTAAATTACTAATATTTATCTAATTAAAAGTTTTGAAAAAACAATATTTAACGTGGAATTTAAATTGTTGTTTCTAGAAAGAAGAATCTTAATAGAATATGAAGAAATGCATTGAGAGACTGCTACATAAAGTTGACCATGGGAAAAAGATAGATTGTTGTAGATCCAAACCAACTTGCTTCACCAATTGTCTTTGGAATTTGTTTATTATTATTGCAAATGCAAGATGGATTGGAAATTACTTTTTCTTTAGAATAAATGCAAGTTCTTTTGATGTAGAAGTTAATGTAATCCACGGAATGAATACCAAGTTTCTAGTAAATTTTCCTCCAAGAATTCTTACTTCAAGAACTCGATCGATTAATAATATAATTACCGATCGATTTCTATTGTAAAGTCCTTGGTAAGGAGTAATATTTCTTAGTAGCATCACCTGAAGTTTCAATCTTAAGACAAAGCCTTGATCTTGGCATTCCAGATGGATTGAATAACTTGATGAATTTGACTAGATAAACATTATTGTTGTCAACACCATCTTCAACAACAACTTCATCGGTGCTTCGATATTCTTATTCTTCTTTGGGAAATATGGCCATAATCTTTTCATTAATATCTTATATCATTATTTTATGCAAATGAAATGATTCTATCTCTAAAGTAGGCATCATTTGCTACACCATTTTTTGCTAATCTTAGATAAACAACACCAATTAAGGATATTAATTGTTGATCAACAATCATATGTTTAAGAAGCATAACTATATTATTGGACAATAAGTTTGTATTGTTTTCAATGTAGGAAGTGGCAATTAGAAATATTAGTTAATAATAATGCAACCATAAAGAATTCAAATGCATTACCATCTATATATACAATGAGTATGTGTATTCTATACTTCAAGAAGCCAATTAGTAAATTTGATATATATTTGAAGTGCTCTTGATTTCAACTTCATAGTGTCTTTTAATGTATGAATTATTATTTGAGGTCAAAGTATTGAATGTCAAAAAGATGTTGCTATAATTTCCTCTTAAGTTCTTTCTACAATTATTGACAATATTTGGCAAACTATTCTACCAAAAACTATTGTAGTTCCTCCAAATAGGCGATTACTATCTTGAATGTGTCTAAAGCAATGATATACTACCTCAAGATAATAACAATGTTGCATTGGAAGTTTAGCAAATAAACTCAATGCAAAAAATGGTGTAGTAAATGATGCCTTCTTTAGAAATAGCAAATTAAAATTCTAAATAATTGAACAAAAAGAGTCTTTGTTACAATCTAATGGAATCTTGAATATAGAATGGACAATTCTTTCCCCCTCAAGTAATAATGCAATAATTCCTAATGATGCAATGAATATGACAATATTTTGCATCAATCAAAGTTTAATTGTTAAAGTGTTGTAGACAAGTGTCTTATTAATTCCTCCAAGTCCATTTAGAAAAAAACATGCATCTATGTTCTTCCATTATAGAGGCCATAATATCATCATATACCTTTGTTTGTTGAAGATTCAATTGTAGAACATACTACTTCAAATTTATTTTTAATTGTTCAATGTCCCGTACTCTTTCTTTAGCAATAAATTGATTTCCATTAATTGTTGTATTTCAATTGTTTCTTGGTAATGGCATTCTAAGAAACTGTGCAAGAGTTTTGTTTGAGTATTATAAAATCCAATCCAATATGAATAGTCCGAATTTCTTAATCTATTCCTTTGTTGGATTGCTAATTCCATGTTTTCTTTACAAACAAGCATTATGATCATCCAAGATATTTTTCCAAAACCTTTTCCATAGGTTTAATGGATTTAGTAAATTTTCGTGCACTAGCAAAATAACAAATAATGCCTTCAATTGAGATCTAGTTTGTATTCTTGATGCTTCTTCCAAACATTGTTGCTACTTTCCATTATCTTTAAAGAATTCTAAAGTGGCACATGAATTCTTAAATGATGGATGGAAAATTCTATGAATAGTCTTTAAATACTCAAATACTTGTAGACCTTTAATGTTGATTAATAGAAGCCTCAAATAATATCTTTCTTCTATTGTAAGATTTCCAAAATATAATCTTCTAGTAGCAAATCTATATTTTTTTAATGTCTATGTCTTTCTTGTCTTATGTCAAAAAAAATGTTGTAGAAATTATTGGTATGTATATTGTCTTGCCACTACAATTGCTATATACATCTCAAAAAATAAAATTAATATTATCTTTGGTCTTTAGTACATTCTAAAATTGCAATATATAAATTATTTGGATGATTTATATTCTTGAAAGATGAACGGCTAAACAAACAACATTTGGCATTTCTTCATGGATTTGTATGCCAAAAAGTCTCCAAGGAGACTGTAGAGCTCCAATGTATCTTGCATCCAAATATTGTTTGATTTTATCTTATTGGTTTTCAAATTGCATTGTAATGCAATTTTTGTTCTTGTATTTGTGGATATACTTGATGGCACAAATAGATGTATATACCTCAACATTAATATGATAATTGTACTTCCAAGATAGTATTGGATAAAATGGAATAATATTCCTATTGTCAACAACTATTCCTTGAACTTCAAACTTTCTTCTATTATTTTTTGTCAATATGGAGGATATTCATTGGTATCCATTGTTATTTCTTCTACAAATAGCTTTAGATATCTCTTTTAACAATGATTGTCTTCTATGCAAGGTGCTTGAGGATTTTGTATTTTTTATAGATTATATATTATGTATTGTAGAATAACTTCAAATAGCTTTCAATTGTTGTCTTTATTTGGAAATTTTGCAAAAATCATATGATCTACATCTCTAACACATCTAATCTTGTTTTTTTTTAATCCAAAAAAAATCAAGAAGTGCATATAAAGTATATCTTTTTTTTAAAATTCAATGATATAAACATGTGCAATAACATGACTAAAGACAACTCTCTTCTTTATATCTTCTATAATTATAAGTCTCTTGAAATCAAATACATAGATAATCAAATCTGATTGATCACTTACTTGTTGTCTTTGAAGATATTCATTTTGGATTTTGGACTATCTTTGATTTATTGTCATTATCATAAAAAATCAGGATGTTAATAAAACCTTGTAATTGCCATAGAATCTTGAAGTATTTCTATCATATGTCTTGCACTTCTAATGTGTGATGATAAAAGTAAGATCTTGTGTCCTAAATTATTAAATTCATATTATCTTTCTTCAAACCCAATACTTTAATGAGTTACAATAGCATCGACTAATTCTTAGTATAAATCAACATGCAAATTTCCTTGATTGTAACATAGATAATGCAAACATGATTATTTAATTCTTACCTATCTATCAACGATAAATTATTATAATAGCTTTCATCTATGCAAAATTATGGAATATTTGGTAGGCCTCAAAAAAAGTTGATATGCAATATAATCCATTAGTATAAGGCTGTCGCTTCTCCAATCTACTCATTCAACATCTTTTTTTTCTTCAACAATATCTATTACTACATTTTGTGGCTTTGGATCAAAATGCCATCTAAAGATTTCATGTGGAAAAAAGAACATAGTGAAAGAACAAATAAGTTGGATAAACCTCATGAATCCTTTCTAATAGCCTATTACTACATATGCAAATAATAATATTAGGAAGTGTATTATACTCCAATCTATTATCAAAGATATGAATCTTAAAGAAAGAAAATCTCAATACATTTTTGTGTCATTCAAAAAGACTAAGAAATTACTGAAAGATAATAATATATTAAAATAGAATGGCAATTGCCAAGATTAAAAGACTAGAAAGTCTTGAAACAAGACTAAAAACTAAAAAGGTATTGATACAAGTGAAGAAAGCTTCACTCTTGCCTCCATACATACTCTCTAACTAAGATAATATTCTATAGGACTTCCAATGCATGTTGACTTTGCTAAATACACATTTTAACTTGCATTGCAAGTTTTCTAAATGTGTACTATCATATTGTAATACAACTACATGATAAAAATATAATAAAAAATAAATTTATAATTAATATTTAATCATCTTGGTTCAATAATAATTATAATTATTTAAATATGGCTTCTATAAAAACCTCTTAGTTTATTTTCTTATCTTAATAGCAATTAGATTAAAGATTGGT